AGAGAGAGAGAGAGAGAGAAAAGGACACACGACAGGACGAAGACGCGGATCGTTTCTCACGAACCAAACTAGGCAGTGCCGCTCTCGGACGACGCTTCGCGTTTTTTCCACGGCAGCGGGGAAAGCGAGACAATAAGTTGTCACAATTTTCCGCGAAATCCACAGTCGAAGGAATAAACGGCCGAGGAAAAAATACCCGAAGCCCAACGGCGGGCTGCATAATGTCTGCATTAACCAACGATTTGCATCGATTACGAAATGCGTATGCTAAAAATTTGCATCATCAAAACCCACCCACGAGAGATATTTAAATTTTCGTGACTCATCCTGCGCATTATAGACTGCTTCTAAATTACAGATAACTCTATCCAAAAATTATAATACGCAATATTTAGTTTGTGAACAAATCTCGGGATTTAATTATTTTAAACAACAGAAAATCCACACAGCTCGTCGTACAAGTATAAAAGCGATTCTAACCGACGATGGATACGCCGGTCGACTTGTAGACGCGATTATTATTGTTTACACGGTGACTGGCGCTCAATCGCATTGTTTATTAAGAGCGACGGGAAGTGATGCGACGCGAGGTGTATAGCTTTGATTATGTAAGCTAAGCTCTTTCTCTCTCTCTCAGGGTTAAGTTTCGGTACGCGCACTACGGTGCATACACCGCGCGATAATTTCGCCTGATGTTCACATTCCATAGTTATCTCCGCGCCCCGCCAGCCGCGGCTTGCCGCGGCCGTTCGTACTCCCTTAAACTGGTTTTACGAATCTGCACGCCGTGCACGCTCTTAATTTCGCCGGTTAATAACCGAGGCGTTCTCCGGGCGATTTGACCGTCGATCAGCCACGGTGGTTTGCGGAGCGTAATATAAATGGGCGCACAGGCCCGAGCGCGTCCTTTGCATTTTTATTAAAGCAGTGCAATATAGCTTTTTATGAGTTTATTTAATGTACAGATAGTTGTACGTTCGTTTGCCGAATATTCGTAACTTTTCGACGCGCTATATTAACTGAATTGCTTTCTTTATGTGCTTTCAACAACTTTCTAATTTAATGTCCTTATTTTTTAGTTATTCGCAATCGAATTCAACCTTAGAATTCACTGAATCTATTAAATAGCTCTAAAACGATGACAAAATAGACGAAAGTTTCGCTAATTAATCGCTGACAAAGTCGGTGGAGGACAATGCGCTTTACGTAATAATCATGAGCGTTGCTCAAATAATTGAGCACCGTGTATTACTCAAACGTTTACGAACATTAGAAAAATAATAATACCGTGACTTCATTAAATAAATTGACAAACGTAAGAATAAAAATGCAAATCTAAATATAAAAATTTTTTGAGGTTTAAATCTTGATTTAATTACTTAAGATCGTATCTCAATTTATTCGTTACGATTTTGATAAATTGCAGTTGTACTGTAATTTAATTATTCAAATCGTGATTTAATTATGCAAATCTTTCCCGTCCCTTCGAGGTACGCGTACTCCGGTCTAATAAACTGACGCAGTATAATTCCCTGTCTCGTCTCGCAACTCTGACTTCAATAGCATTAGAAAGCGTAGGCTTTGTAACATGCACGAAAAAAAAATGCGATACCGTTAAAACGGCGGTCGAAATATACATATACACGTTTCCGAACTGACAAATGTTAAATCTGACATTCCTAAACCGTCGAAAACTGGTCATGGCTTATGTTAGAGTGCTACTTCGGATAATGATGATCTCGATGTTTTGTGAAACAGAAAAAATGAACACCCGGCGCTTGGGTTTCCGTTCGCTTTAAACTGCTGTAAATCTGTGCAATTTTATAACCAACAATTTCTACAAAAAGGTTTCCTTTCTTAAGAAAAGACTATTTATCTCTCGCAGCATGTAGCATAAATAACGAAGAATGTCGTTAGGTGAAATACTCGTGAAGATTTTTATCCTTAAAGAAGTTAATAGCGTAAACCGTTAAAAATATATGACGCAGGAAAAAAATGTTTATTAATATCTTTTTTTGTTACTATTTAAATATTAGTGTAAAACATTTTTCTTTGTCACCGTTCGCAGATTAATACAACGGTTCTTATTTTTTTCAATTTAATTTCGTAACGTCTCATAAACTTTGTACTCCATTTATTGTGATCAAAATAATATTATTTGATAAGAAGGAATATAAATTTTTATTTTTTTATCTAAGAAAAGATTCTTTTACTTATATTTCTGATATTACAATTTCCCGCGCATACGTTTTTTAACGTGGAATTTTGTCTTTTGCAGAGTACAAGTTCTCTATGTACACGCCGAGTATGATAGCGGCGGCGAGCGTCGCAGCAGCGTTACACGGACTGGATTGGACCAGGAAGAGCGGCTATGGACTGGCCGGTCTTCTGCACGAACTCACTCGCATCACGGCCATCGAACAGGTGAGTGGCGTGCGTATCAGAATTATTACAAGAGCCTATTAAAGTGCATCAAAAAATCACGCAGTTTATTTATATTCTCTCTGCTCTCGCATTTGATTTATGAGTAGACACTTCATATTAAAAAAAAAAAAGAAAACACATTACAACAAGATATTCGGAAGTTTTTTATGCTCGTAGACAGTCGTCCTTCGCGATGCGCCGATGTCTGGTGCCGGGACGGAGGCGAAATCGGCAAGAAACGATAGAACTTGCCCTTCGCAAGTCCGGCCGTGGAAGAGACGAACTCGCGGGGCACAAAAAACGCGACGGGAAGTGCGCGGGAAGGGTGCAACAGGTGCCGGGCACATGTTCGCGCGCTAAAGAAAAAAAGGCCCGGGTCTTCTGCCGCTGCTTGCTGCCTCTGCGGGCCCCGTATGCGCGTCGGACGGTGGTGACGGAGCCCGTGTTCGCCGTTGTTCCGTCTCTTTCCCACTTTCCCATTTTCTCCTTCTTTCTTTCTTTCCCTATATGCGCTTAGTACAAATAAACCGCGCGAATGAATGGGCTCGGCATGGGGTCCGTGACCCGTAAGCGCGATATTTTCAACGGCCCCGCGCTTCTCCGTCTGCGCGCTTAGGCCCGAGAGCAGGAAGACATCGTCCTCGAGACGGTATCCGGTCTCCCTGGACTTTCATTCATGACCTCGGACCACACTTGTAGACTGCGAGATGTGTTTGCTTTAGAGCTTTAACTAGACAGGGTTAACATGTTACGCATTAACCCACTTGATCTCATAAGCGCATCTTTGAAAACCTAGAACGCAATCTAAGACCTTGGATGCGCGAAGAAATAATAAATCTGGAAAAGATCGAGTAATTTCATCCTTCAAAATCTTGTTCAATTTTAGAAGATTTGGAAAGATATTAGTCTATTTTTTTTTTTCAGTTTAATTGTGAATTGCACAAAATAAAATATTATTTTGAATAAACAAGAATTATTAACCTTTGCATTACAGTTTGAATTTATTCTTATTTCAGGATTATCTACAAGGCTGCCTGGAGCAGATCGAGGAGATGATCGAGGAGGCCCATGCCGCCCATGTAGGCACCGAGAACCCCGGAAGCGGAAACGGGCATCAGACAATGAGCACTGGTATCTCGAGTGCACCGCAGAGGCCGTTGGGGGACCAGAACACGAGTCAGGAGAAGATATTGGAGCACGAGAAGGCGGGCACACCGACCGACGTCAGGGATGTACATTTTTGAAAACCGCAGTAGGGGGACACTATGCAAGGGCCGACACAGCGGTGAGTCTGACAGCCGAGGAAGAGAAATTACCTTCCAGCGAGGAAGAAGGTAAGGACGATGATAATGGGCAGCCGAAGGGAAAGCGGAGGAAAGTTCTACACGAGCAGCGGGATACTCCAGAAGTTACACACGAAGCGGATCCAGCTGGTTGTAGTTCGAAATGCGAAACTCCTCCGGAAGAATCTCGAAAGCGGACCTGATCACTCGTTAACTGCGTTTGATTGAAAACCACGGCGCGAATTGTTATAAGCCGGAAGCACGTGGAACGTGTGTTTTGAAATCAATTAGCATGAAGTTTATTTCGATATGAGATTGACACGTATCTATGCAAGAAAGATTTTTTTACATTCTTGGATTTATTTTGCAAGATACAATTAAGTACATACACTGAGAGAAAAGAATAATTGACCGTAATCTATAGTGTGTTTTGGCGCCAACCATATTTTTATAGGTATTCTAACTATATGATTGACAGTGCTAAGGTTATGCTAACACTATAGTAAAATTATTATGGCAACAATTTCTATAAAATATTCCTATAAAAATAAGTATCCTGATCAATTTATAATTCCACGCAATTATAGTCCTAAATATCACACACTTTTCTCTCAGTGTACGATATGTGTTCTTAATCTACTGAAATAAAGATTTTTTTTCTTTTTTTTCCAAAGTTACATTCGCACATTTATTTGACGTATGCGTTTATTGTCGATATTTCACGTTTTAAAAATATTTTTACAGTTTTTTTGTTTTTTTTTTGAATCCGCTTCAGCGTCAAGATTTGCGAATTATGTCGGCATGTCAAGACACATAGTCAATTCGTTGGTTTTCTGATTAATTTCTAATCGAAAGACGAGCGATTTAGGTGGTAGATGAGAATTGTATATTTCGATCGCGAAACCGTTACGTGGAATACCAACCACGTGTAGAAGACAAACGATAGAATAAGCCAAGAAACAAACGATTACTATGACTAAAAGCGCGTTCGAAACAATGTAAAAGAAAATAATGCGAGGAGCTGAGGATCACCAAGCGGTCCATTTGTGTCTGAATCCACGCCGTTCCGACGTGTGTCGCCCTAAAAAAATAAAAAAAAAATTAAAAAAAACAATAAGAGGAAGGAAAAAAGAGAAGATAATGCGGGAACTATAGGATGGCGTGCTGTTTGGGGGAAGGCAATGCAATACGCTTTACGCATCTATAACTTCGTAATAGGAGTATACACTTAACTTTTAGGCGACGAGGCCAGAAACTACCGAGAAACACGAAAGGGACGATGTAGTTAGGAGGGGAGTCTACCTTCCACGCGAACATTAAAAAGAAATAAAAATTCACTTAGTCATATCCAGAGTCATTTAGCGTTTTGTACATATATATAAGTATGCATAGGAATAAATAAATATATATTATATCGAAAAAATATATATATCTATATACAAGTGTAAACTGAAGAAAGAAGGAAAAAGAGAGAGAGAAAGCGAGAGAGAGAGGGAAGATGGTACCAGAGTGATTGGTACAAAGAAAACACACATAAAGAAGTAAGATAGTAATCGGAATAGACAAGGAAATACATGGACCGTATTGCGATATTGAGTCAAGAGAAATTTAACACAAGCCGAATAAATATTCTAATAATAATAAGTTAATCGTTTACTTAAGAAAAATATGACTCTGTTTAAAAATTGTTGTCAGAATGATCGCTTTGACTCTTCTACCGTTTATATTGTATCACATATTATTTGCAAGATATTCTTCAATTTATGTAGAACTTGCTCGAAATGATTCAAGCATGAATATCAGACAGATATTTTTAAGGCATATTTTTTTTCCTACAGAACAAAGTCTGTGATTTGCAATGCGAAAAAATATAATCTCTCTTATCTCTTGAAATTTTTTATCGCGCGCTACGGTCCGACTGCCTCTAGTTTGACAGAGTTTCGTTCACGCTCCGACTAAGGTTAATCCAAATGATGAGCAACGCCGAGTCTTTATGTTCGATGGGTTACGGCGCGACCGTTTGCTTATCCCGCTCGGTTCCTAAGAAGGGTTGTGCCAACCCGCCACGTGTGCGTAATGTAATGCGAGCGTAAAAAGAGTGATTCGCAATGTGTATGCGTGTGTCGCTGCTGCTGCTACTACTGTGTGCGAGAGTGTGCGATAGGGGCAAGAACAAAAGGAAGTGAGAAAAAAGATAAAGTAGCGAGAAAAACGACCGAGCAAAAAACCAAAAAAAAAAATTTACTTCCTTCCCCTGCTGAGTGTCGTTACGTTTTAATCTGCGGTACACGTATCTCAAGAACGTTCACCGTTTACGTGGACGTGTCAGGCTGTATATATAGATGTAGGTAGGCTGTACGATTAAGAGCTAACGCGTAATAAGATTAAGAAAAAGAAAAAAAAGAAGTAAACGGGACGGAGAGCGGAAACATGTGAGCGATGTATCGAGAGCGACGATACACGACTTGATAAATCCCGGAAGAATTTTATACAAAACTACCGTGGAGAAAAATCTGATGGTTTCTTCGCTATGTCGATTGCATATTGTCTAGAAGAATACGCGAATTTTTGAAGGGCTTCGTAAGAAGTTAATTTTTTATTGTACTTCGCACGGGTTATTCTTAGATCGTCCCGATATCATCGTGGTGACACTTTCTGTTATTCTAGACACTATCCGAAGCGGCGTGGCGAAGCGAAATGCGATCGTGTGCGTCGACGAAAAGGACTGATATCCAAAAAGTAAAATGGAGTTGCTAGTACTTAACGAGAGTCTCAGAGGTCTTAGAAGGCCGAACCGAACGGGAGCTTCGTCGCCTCGTGACTTCGAAAAACCATGGCGACACATTCGCGAGCGCGAGTCTCGGGTGCAGACGTCGCGTCGCTTGACTTTTCAAGCTCGTCCGAATTCGCGTAGACAAAATTGTGCGTGTCCGAGTTTATATTTCACTGCTCCGAGAATTCTCGCACGCGAAAGTCGCGAATCGGCTCGAGCGAAGGCGCCGGAAACGTGCGTATATACATGTTTTACATACCGAAAGAACGAGCGTAATTGCGGAAAGAATGTATATCACGTGTAGCTCTAAAGAGACGCCGGGCGCTAACCGATTCTGTCGAATCATCTAAAGACACGAGAAACGTGGATACGATAAAGCCCACATTGCACGGTCCCGATAGCTTTCGGACGAGAGACTCGACCCGGAGATCACGGACGCGTGCGTGCGTGCGTGCGTGATTCAGCTCGACGAAGACTGTGCGAACGAATCGATCGCCGCTATTCGAGACCGAAGGACAGAGTGTCCATTGTGCCACGAAGCAAATGCTAGTTAGTGCGTAATGACAATTAACCAAATCTTAGTACAATATAATTGGAAGCGGATTTTACGAAAGGTTTTTTTTTTCCAGATCAAAGAACTCGCGGGAAATAATTGTGGATTGCTAATTGAGAATTATTAACTGCGCTCGATATGTATGTTTAGGGGAAAAAAAAAATAGAAGGCGCGATTGTTCATCTTGATGTGCAAGTCGCAGGTGTAAATATATGTAACTAATGTTAATGCGAGCGTTAAGAATCACGATATTCCTTTGCACGATTATTTTGTTATTGCGTGTCGAGATTCGCTCGAGCCGAGTTGTAATATCGCATAACGTCGTAGGTTCCTAACGAGAGACAGAGGTATGGTCTGAATGAAAGGTGTGGCACATGCTAGAGTGTGATGCGCGTGTTTAGCGTTTAAGCAGCAAGATGTATATAATGCTGATAAGAAAGGCTGAGCTATGAAGTCATTGTGTAGTCCAATCTATTGGCTGATTTCACTAGCTTAGCTCAGCCGAATAAGATTCTCTGATTTTTAACGATTCGCGAAAAACAGTTGTGACAAATTGCCTTCAATAATTTTGCCTTCAATAATTTTGCTCGTAACGACGTTATCTTTCTTGTTGGAAGCTAACGAGATCAGTTATAAATAAGTTCGGGGACTTGAAATTAATGACGAGAGAGCGATAGGAGAATAAGCGAGGAAAAAAAAATTAAGCGTGGAGCTCGATGTAAATAGGAGCGATAATAAGTAAGCAGACTAAGTTTTCTTTTTTTTTTATTAAGGACGAAAAGATCTCGTCCTAAGTAAGGAAGTATGATTTCCATGTGTGATCATATACGAAAATCATACTCCGAACGTCGATTCGCCTTGCGTTTATAAACAAGTACACATACACAGAGATGAAACACACATTCGATTGGACACGTGTACATGTCGCATACGTTTTCACGGAATTTTTCACTGATCTGTAAAGTGTTCACTGGTTTTTTTGTTTTTTTTTTTGTTTGTCTCTTGTTCGTTTTTTTCTTTTTTTTTTTTCTTTTTAATGGCGCAATAGCGTACCGCTGATATACCTCAGATCACACTTCACCCGAGATGTTCATCGAATATGCCCGATTTACCATAGTTTTTACCGACTCAGAGAAAAACGAGACATTTATAATTGCGTTACTTTTAATGCTAGCACGTAAATTACTTCTTTTAATGCATAGGTGAAAATTATACTATGTAAATGGTCCGACGTCTATGTACATACCTTGCGCGTCCTCGCGACATCGCAATCGATTGAAAATGAAATATCGATATTTTATACAAAAATGTTTTCTTGTTATTTAAACCCTTCCTATCTTATCTTATGACTATCTCATCGCCTTCGTAATTTTAAGATTCTTAAAAAGTTATTACTTCATAAAGTTATCGTAAAAATAAATTTCAACAAGAGATAACGCTAATTAAATTCTATTTCTTGCTGATTATTTTATTAGGTATAAATAATATTAAATTAATGGAAGGCCAATAATATTGAACTTTTTAATACTTTGAATTGAGCAAATTAAATGATAAATTTTAAGAGATATTTTATATAATTGTAGAGGAGTTGTTATCTAACTGCTTCGATATATTTTTCGCAAACCGTCTCGTTTGTTTATAATTGATTTCAAAAGTTGTTTATTTTGCTTCTCTTCACTGCTTTTCTCTTACAAGTTTCAAGGATCACGAAATACGCTTTCGCTAAAATCTTATTTGTTTCCGTAATGCTTTATTGTATGGTATTATCTTACAACATATACATCTTAGATAATGAATAAATCGTAACATTTTCATACGGAGAACTTTGATAAGAACACATGTAAAATGAGCTCGAAATAAGAAGTACAAGTTACGAATTTGTTAAAAATTCCAGGCTGCGATAAATATATTTATGCGTTTATATGTACACAATCTTGTGGAAGCATAAATCGTGCGCGTTCTTACACAAATATTAATATCGTCAAAAATTATTATCTTCACAGTGTTTTACTTTTCGAGCTGGTTATGTTATAAAATATGCAATCACATTGGATTATACAATTCGAGATTTGTGAAGCGTTTATCATATAAAATTCAATCGCATAATAACTGAATAGAAAAAAGATGCGACTCGTTTCGAAAGGATAAGAAAATACTTATGGAAGTAATATATTATCGCAATATATGTGTGAGTTATAGTTTCTAAAAAAAATTACCAGTTCGAGAATAACTTTGTTCACAAGAGAGTGTCATATTAATAAAAAATTTTAAAACAATATCACAGTTTATCACATTTAAAATAAAGGAATGCTTCTTCTTTGCCAAAAAAAGAAAGCAGATAAAAGACAAATTAACAGATTGAATTCTTTTAAATAATTTGCCTTATGCGACTGACTACTGCTTTTATAATAGTAATTCGCTTAAATAAAACGAATTCTTGCTTTCCAAATACCACAGTGCAAATACATTGTTAATTTTATGAAGGCACTGTTAATAAAGAAATATTAAAACATTTATAATAAAGGAAGTAAAAGCGGCAAGCTGGACTCTTCTGGTCTCATCTCGATTATCAAGTTTTTGGCTATTTTGCAACAAAGTGCATAATTAGACGAAAATATATTATTTTTATATTCTGCATTAATTATTTTCCACTTCCAACATAATTCGTATTTCAAACTTTCGGGAAAGACCTTAGATTTATATTCTCTGAAGATTCTCAGGAAGATTGTTGTTAACGGAGTCTTTGTTTGAAGTCCGGAATGGTTTTCTAATAGAAGATTTATAGCTATGAGCACGGCAAGGGGGGGATCCTGTGAGAAGGGGAGGAGCGAAGAGATTATGGGTGAGCAGATCATGGTAGAGAGATTGTACAAAGGTGGAAATATTGAAGAAAGGAAAAATGCGGTGGCGTTGATATTATAATTGAATATCTCCATCGTTATGCTTGGATAAGAATGTGCTATTCTAGACAAAGTGACCACGTCCGCAGGAGGATTTAAGTTTAGGGAGGATTCCCGCTCTGATATAGGCTCAGTGCTTATCCCGTACTTCTCTATCATTATGTTCATTAATTCCATCACCGACGGCCATTTATCGAGTCCACACCTCGATATGAGAAAATACAAATGACATAAAATATAGACATCGGTTTGAAACAGCATGACGTTAGTAAACGTATATTGGCATATTGTTTCGTCGCATTTGTTGACGTGTACATAAGAAAATTTTTTAAAGGTATTGGATGTTGTCACAACGTATCGCTGATAGAGATTGTGCTTTTCTAACATACTCTCAATAATCCATTTTGGGCTGAATCCTTTAATGGTTAACTCTTCAGTCTTGTCGAAATTCTCCAAGTGCGCGATCTCGGGGATACGAATATACTCATCTCCAAATTTCTCCAATACTTCCACTAGTTTGTCTAACACACCCTTATCGTCGTTAATTAATGGATACAGCATATTGGAGATGGCACTAGGTAGCACTTTTTTTATGTGAAAAAGTTAAATGTCACGCCCTTGAATTATGCAGAGAAATCCAGCCTTTTCAGCTGACTCACACTCTGGCCTTTCAGTTCCTCCTCCAGCCGTTGAATTCCTCGCGAATGTCTCTTCTTCAGTCTCAGTACTTCTATTATACAAAATACATAAAATATTTGTGAGTTTCGATCAATTAATGAGATAGATACGTTACATAACGATACAAAATCATCATGTCCTAACGCGATTATTAAATACAAATATAAACGGCACGAGAAGCAAAACAATATTTTTTCAAATAGATTCACCTTTGATATATTTTAAAAAATACATCGCGAATAATTTAAAAAATATATGTGTCTCGAGAAAATTTCAAAATTATAGAGTATACTGCCATATTTTATACATACCCGAGACTGTGGAAATTGGTAAAACGTCCTTGATTCCGAAGAATGGATTTGAATTATTTTAATGCTAACTGATTAGCAAATTTCGAGCGACGTTTCCGATATAGTATAAGTTCGGAAAAGAAATTAAAATGTAATAAAAATATATTCAGACATCCGGCACACCAATCATGTGAGAAGAAGCATTCCTTTCTGGCAGTGGCCTGGAACAGAAGACCGAGGCAGAGCACTCCCTATGACAGTAGGGATCACTTGATCAACTACTACTGTTTTGTTTCCCCAACAGTTCTATCAACACAAATATACAGATATCACAACTTGATACATGTAGGCAGGCTCTAAGGCACTAACGAACATAAATTCAAATCATATTGTATTAAATTGAAAATTTTTACTTTTTTTTTGAAAATTATTTAAAAATTATAAATCCGAGACAAGAGGAATCCAATACATTTGTAGATTCTTTAAATTCCATCTGTATTAAACATACAATATATTAATTAACATTTTTCATTAAAAAACATCCTAAATTATTTTTTATATACAAAAGCAAAAAATGTATGAAATTTAAAAAACAAAAAGAAAAGATTTGGAAGAAAATTTATTTTAATTTATTTAAAATATATTCCTCCAATTTACATGCTATTATCCGGAGATATAAAGATAGAAATTAACAAATCTTTAATCCTTTCGATAATGATTTATTTTACTGTACAATAATATGCCTTACAATATATACATCTTACTTAATGCTTTGTAAAAGTTCTTATACACGAAGCTTTTTAATATCCATACTTATATACAATAGGGCAACGACCTTGATTACGAATTTATTAAGAATTATAAACTACAATGAGTATTGTAGCCTGTGTAAAAACAGGCTGCAATGAGTATTGTATCAGTGCAGTTAGTGAGCTCACGCAGTAGCATTGCTGTAGTGAGCTCCTTATGTATTGATGCCCCCAAAAACACTTAACTTTTACAATTTTGTACTCCTCCTTATACCTGATTATATTACAAAGTGCTAAATAATGCTAATAACGAGAGAGAGAGAAAGAGAGAGATACATAATTCGAGGTATTCGTATAAAATATGTCACGAGATTCCTCGATCGCATGTACGATTGCAGCTCCACTTCAACGTGGCCAACGTAAAATGCAATCGTGAAATACATTTTGGATGTAAAAGAGATACAAAGTACACTTACAGAAATAATACGGATATTATCCCTCAGTCTAAAATGATCACAATACATAATATCGGCTACGAGTTGTTTTCCGAATAACGCATTACTAACTCGAAAAAGAAATGATTCCCTTACAAAAGTGACATATCAATCTAAAACTTTAAAACATTGGCGTTTCCTTTAAAACAAAAAAATTTTTTTACTAGAATCATCTAGAAATGAATGGAATTATATATCTCGTTAAAGCTTTTGCAATCATTGTGATAAATATAATATAAAATTGTCATGTTAGAGAGTATTTAGCTCAACATAAGTTACATTTGATTTCATAGCACGCAAGTATCGAAGCACAGCCATTAAAAAAAAAGAGTAATAATTATTCTCCGATTTTTTTATCTACCGCTCATTGCCCGAAACTCAACAGATTGCATGTGGATCGTGTGTTGCAATAATTTCTCCTATTAAAATTTCGGAAAATATTTTTGTGTAATCAAATCGTCATTAGTCTGCATGTATGAGTATAAAAATGATTGTGAAAATTTCGTATATTTTAAAACGTATGAAAATGTATAATAATAAAAAAAACTTAACATCTAATAACAATAATATAAAATGATTAAATAGGATTACATCTTTGGTGCACGATTCGTCATTGTATCAATATTTCATCATATTTCATCATATTTCAACAAACTTCACTTTTCTCGCTTGATAGTTATGGCAAAATGGGGCCAAACATATTCTAAGCATATATTAATTTTTTTTATCACCGATGATAATATCGTAAGTTTCTAAAACAGAACGAGATCTATCTTCCTTCTCTGTTTAATATTACATATATTAAATCTCACCTTAATCTCTTAATTTGTTATTTATAAACGCGTATTATATAGTTACATCCTTGTAACAATCTTCAGTTTTAATATTCCTTTTAATCTCTTGTATATGACAAAAATTGTCGAGTTTTTTATCACCTTACTTAGTAACAATCAGATTCATCATTCGATACTATTTAGAATTATCTCTTCTGTCAGGTAAAAATAAATATGCATATTCCTGTTTACAAAAAGGATGATTGTTCGTTATCATCAATAAATAAAATGTCAAATAACGATACATTCTTGTACCGATTGGAAAGCCCAATGTAATTTTAAGATTACGAATATTCGCAACACTCACCGAAGAAGCACGAAATATCCGCAACGAGTTAGCGTACATCGGTACGTTTTGGCAAATACTAACATATACTAGAGATTCCGTGGGTCAGGCTCTTTTCAAGGACAATGTGGAATTCACTTAACGGTTCAAGAATATGAATGAGGAACGTCAGTAAAGTAGGATTTCTCAGGAACGAACTTTCCTCGTACATATCCATCGTGGAACGCGCATCGCTCATCGGCCGTAACATTGGATGAAGAAGTTTCTCTCTGAAAATCATATTAATGAGTCTAAATGACAACAAAATACGTATTAAAGGTAAACAATTCAGATTTTGTTAAAAATATAAGTTTACCTCGCTGCTAAACAGACAAACAATTGGAATTTTCCGTCCTTTCCTAAAGTCTGACTAAACATATTAATTTGATCGATAAGGTGGCAATAACATCTTAAGATTGTGAACCTTTGGCTGCTTTCCGAGTACATTCTTCTGTCTCGATTGAGTCTTTGAGAGTACTCGTCCATTTCCTCCAACAAGGAGATCTCAAAATTTTCTTTCACACGCACTGCAATAGTTTCAATTATACACTGTTCTAATATTAAGTTTTCTTTTTGCAGCTATTGAATATACTCACAGAGATAATCCCATACATAGAAGTTCCTCCCAAATATTCTCTGATTTTTGAAACCAAATAAAAATATTTGTTCCAAGGACGGCACAAGACCACCCTCTCCACACAGCAGAGCTGTCAAGGAACCATCTTGACACTCTCTTCTATAATGATATTTAACAATGGCATTTACAGCCTCGCCTGGAACATTGTACAGTATATTTAATATTAAATTTTTAATAACTAGAATTTTTTAATTATTAGAACATAACATATCAGAGTATAACAATGATTGTGAAAGTTTCATATATTTTACACAAAGAAATGATCTAGAATTATAGAATATAAGAATTCGATGTATCGTAATAAAGTTCTAGGCCTATTAAATAACATGGTATAAGATTCTAAGGCATAAAAATAAATAAAATGTATATTAATGTTGCATCATAATATTTGTTAGGTTAGAACCTTAGAACATACATGTTCTTTAATATTCTGCATTAAAATCTTATATTTTAAACAAAGAATGATCTAGAATTCTAAAATATAAGATTTCAATGTATCATAGTAAAGTTCTAGGCCTACCAAATGATATGGTATAAGATTCTAAGGCATAAAAATGAATAAAATGTATATTAATGTTGCATCATAATATTTGTTAGGTTAGAACCTTAGAACATACATGTTCTTTACTATTATGCATTAAAATCTTATATTTTAAACAAAGAATGGTCTAGAATACTAAAATATAAGATTTCAATGTATTCATAGTAAAGTTCTAGGCCCATCAAATAATATGATATAAGATTCTAAGGCCTAAAAATGAATAAAATGTACATTAATATTAAAATATACATTTGATTCATTTTTATGCTTTAGAATATCATATCATTTAACAGGCCTAGAGCTTTACTATAATGCATTGAAATACATTAAAAATTCCAGAACATAACAGACTTTCTACATATAAATTTTTATTTATATTTTATTTATGAAATAATTTTGTAGTTTAGTTTTGTAATACTGCTAAATAAATTTAAATTAATAATAAAAATCCATTGGCATCAAATAACAAATGCAATATGTAGACAAATAATAATGATAATAATAATTTACCGAGCATGTGCTGTAGTTCGACTTGCGACAATATGGGACGCCTGGGTATACTTGGTGATCTACATCTCGGAGGTGTGGAACATGATTCCATCAACTCTTCGCTATCAATGCTTCGAGGTACTAAAGCTCCCACTAATAAACGTTCAGTGGATCCGTCGTCTATTCCTCTGCCAAGCCAGCGGCCACAAGGAAACTTAAACATGTGCCCCGTCACTTCGTTTCTCACTACAACGTGTTCCACCATCCATTTCGGTGACAATCCAGTATTGTCATGTCCAATCCGTAGCGTAGACAACACGCCTAAGTTTTTATGCTAAAAGTTTTAATGCAAATATAAGAATTAATAGTTCCACTTTTTATAGTTAAGCTACAGATAAAAATGCTTACGTGGAATACAAATTCAAGTGCTCCCTTCGGTATCGGCACGGGATTGGTTTCGCAGAGTGTACCAGAAATAGCAATCCAACTATTGGCCGAAGTGGTAGCGGCGCTCGCCTTTCGACTGGGGAATATCACTACTCGATACGGTAATTTCGTCGTCGGATAGTTGTTCGTGAAGCAAAAATAGTCAACAGCATTGAGTGTCAGAAGGTGATACAAGAATTGCTCCTTCTCTTCTTCACAGCGCAAAAACGCTGATCGTTTGTACTGACTCCTAATAGATACAGAAATAACAAAATAATTAGTTTAATACTCAAAAAGATCAAGCCTAACTATATATGTATCTATAATCATGAAAGTGATCTAAATCATTTATTCTAAAATAAAGAGCTTTGTGTACATTTACTTAACGTATTAATATTTTTTACAATGGCATAATTTTTATGAATATTCAGATTTTAAACAATTCGACATACTGATTTACGCACTTTCATAATTATTGGCACACATCGAAGACATTATCAGTGATCATTATTATTTGATCAGTGTGATTATCATTTTGTTATATATTATCAGATACTCTCTAGATTGCGTACTATCATGAAAATGAACGTCTAATAATCTATCTAATAATTTCCGAAACGCACCTCAATAGAGCAGTATCCGACAATAACGTTTTCAAATGGCGTGACAACAATTTTTTCTCAAGCGCCAATCGCACCCACGCTCTCGCGTATCCAATGTGCGTTTTGATATCGGTCATCGCTTGAACATTACGAATGTCGAAGATTAGAGAATCTGGGAGAGGCCTCAAGTGTTCTGGACCGACGCTTTTTCTATCACCGGGAGATTTATGCTTGTCCGCGCCTCTCGTGGGCGAAACGTCCGTCTCCAATTGTAAGTTCGACAAATCTATCGCAATATATAAAATATTTTAGACATTCCTCCAGTCGAGCAAAAAGAATGCGAACAAAACACGAACAAAGACAACACTTTTTTTTGTGGCCAAAACAATCATAATACTCAATCTGATTATACTCAATACGTTTTTTTTTTTTTTTTTATTACAATAGTTGCACATGCAAATCCGATATCATGCTTCACACAAATACATTCAAATATACATGTACACACGCAATCTCCATATATAATTTTTTTATAAAAATACATCATCTATGTGATAATTCGACATGCACCCCTTTCTTCAAAAATTATAATGAATTCTTTTAAACCGTACCGTAAAAAAATAATATTGACAAATATGTCATTATGAAACAACTTGTTATTGAAATATTTGTTAATCGAGCAATACAATCTAAGAAAATGCAATAAGATGCAAAAAAGAAACATCGCTAATAAAATCACTTCGTGAAACTAAACCTTGTTGCGGCAAGCCAATTCCAGGCTTATCATTTAAACTGTCCTTGATGTAAGAGGTAATTGCAATAATACTTTTGCTTCTCAAAGATGAAATCAAACGATGAGGCATTCCGAAAAACTTATTTGGCGATTTCTTAGCTAATTACAACATAAAAAATAAAAGAAAGAAAAGAAAATTAAACATAATAATGGTAAATAAAAGAATAAAATTGCTTATGTTATTGTTAATTTAACTTATACTTTGTAATGATCGATTCCGTCTGACGTCAGAGATATTCAAAGATATTGAGAAATAATAATCGTGCGGTGAAGCGTAAACACGAATTATGAAAACCATTGTATGGTGAATCACTTACAATACTAATAGTGCAGGATATCTACGTACGAAGAACTAATCTCTACTTTATAACATTTTATCTTATTATAAAACAGAGCCACGTACAATCGAGTCGCTTCCGCAGCACTGACCACGCTAGCGCTGCATTTCCGCAAAACAATAACATTTAATGTAATTTTACAATTGATTAATTATTCTCTGCTGCATACACGTATTATAGTTGGGCGTGTGATTATCATAAGAGAGAAACGTAAAATATATTAAACTGCGATGTTCTCACGCGACATTAAAACACATGTATATCTTACCCGGCGAAAGAAAGTTGGGATCTATGGACTTGGTTGCGTCATTACACTCTACCGCTTCCTGATACATGGCCAGATGCGACCAAAGCGCACTTTTGCCCTGTTTATTTTGCAGCCCGTGGCTCCACACTCGCTCCAATAGATCACAGAGGCTAGCGACTAGAGTGTTCTCCTCGACGTCCGATAGAGACTCGCCGCCGTGACCAAGCGCGACGGCTTCCGATCCCATTTTCTCCACCAGCATCCTCTTCGTCTTTGATTTACAATCCTTATTGCGAAATAACAAGGTTTTAAAATACAATTAACAGCAATTAATGAAATAACACATCTCGCAAATGTTATATTTAATAATGCTTGAATTACAAGAAAGATAATTTAAATATATAAATGTGAAAAGATTCAAATTATGTTATAAATAATATTCGTAAAAGTACCTTGAGTAATTTTTCCACGAACGTCCAATTCGCTTGTGCTATTAAAGCAGGGCTCATGTCCGCTGAGAGTTTAGTCTGAGGACGAGGCGATTGAGATTCTTGGGGCGTCGCGGGCTTTCCATTGTCCATGGATTTCATCTTGTACTTCCATTGTGTTTGCTCTCTCCTACTACTGTAAACGGAAATTACAGTTTGATACAATCTGCTGATATAAATGTTAATTTCTAATATAATTTGTAGTGTACATGCAAAAGTATATTTCTAGAGGACTTAACGTAAAGCACTTTCTTTCGAAGTAAACTTTGAAAATTGCAGACAGCACTTTACTATAAGCCCCACTTTATTCTAGTTGTATTAAAAGTTCTTTCTTACCGAAGTATACTACACAGAAAGCACAAAACAGGGATTGTAGAGATTAATAAGTTTAAAAACGAGAGATAATATTATTTAATCAATAATATTGCGAATAATCGTGTCACATACCTTTGAGTAGGCTCTTTGTTCAACACGACGCTATCTAGCAAAGGAAAGCTGCGAAAGTACGCAGCTCTGTGAGGAAGAATCTCCGTAGGTGGATTCGTTTCGAAGTCTACGTTCGTTAATCTTTGCTCGAGTATTTGTTGTATGTCTGCGATGTTCGTGCAAGGCTCGTATCGCATTGATCGTATGATGCTCTCTCCGACTTTTTTTCTGATATACAAAAGAAACCCAACATGTATTAAAAGGTTTTATTTTTATTTTTGATGCTCCGTTTATGCAATAAATAGAAAACTCTAAAAATAAATAGAAAGCATTATATCAAGACTTACTTCAGAGCTGAGATTCTTTGGTCGAAAACTTTAATATTGTAGTCAAGCTCGCTCCATGTTGACATCACTTTGCTGTCAACAAGAGAGGCGAACATCTGCGTTTCCAGGAATCTCGACAAAAACGGCAGATGCTGCGTAGGCTGGTCGGATAAAAACGTGGCTTTGTCAAAAACGTGCATACTATCTCTATTGTTTATCCATTCATCCTTGTCCTTCAAAATAAAATTAATTTCATTATTAACTGCATTTTAGTTTTATTTTTTAGAAATGTTACGTGCCCGTACCTGGCTCGGTTGAATGACAAAATGTTCGTAACTAGAAAACATTTGTACAAAACGGTTCAAAAAAATTTCCCTAATAGCATTATTGAAAATGAGAGTATCTTGGTATTCCTCTTGAGGCGTGAGTATTTTTTCCTTTGTGGTGTCCTCCATGGAATCGATGTCATCTACATTTACTATAATTAGAGAAAAATCAAAAACTTTCATCAGGTAATTATAATTTATAATTTTATCTATAATATTACATAAACATTGCATAAATTTAATGTTTAATAATTTAATAACGTTATACTGTCTTACCAGATCTTTTAACAATATCCACTATCCTTTGCAGATTGTCCGATTGCGATGATGGTGGTTCCGGCCGATCCCAATCCAGTACGTCGTGCAAAGAATGTTTTCTACGAGGAAGATGAAAACCAGAACCTGGAAGTGTGAGGCTACTGGTCATGATGTCGCCATTGTAATAGTTGATGACCATATTATCAGTCCTATAAAAAAGTTTTTGCTCGATTTAGACAAAGCGTAACAACCAAACTTCTATCGTAATAGTTACAGATAATAATAACTCACTTTCCTGAATGTGGTACTTTGTACTTGTTTAGAAGCGCTCTAATCTCCGTAATAAACTGCATTTTATGAGGAAACACGGGTAATTCTTCCGGAAATTGACTACTTTGCTTATCTATATCTACATAGCAAAGGTTTGCCTGTAACCAAACGCAATAAATTATTTGCGGCTAATAATAAAAAAATGTTTTAACAGAACACATATATCCCATAAGAAAATTAATAATAAAAAATATATATCCTTTTAATATTAATTTAAAATTTTTGACATAAGTAAATTGTTCTAAATCTACAAAGCTAAACATTCTAATTTTTTAGCATTAGGAAAAAACTTATCAAGTAACTGTCAAAATGTCAAAATTACAATTTGTTCTAAATCTGCAAACTTCTAAAACGCATCTAAGGTTTGATGATATTTTGCGTTATTTACAACTGTAATGAAAAAAATAAAATGTAGAAGACTATTCTAGAAAAACGTACTTCGCTAGCAATCTTTAACACGCCACCCTCGCTGTGCGCATGCAGACCCATTATGAAGGGCACGGGTGCATCCAAGAAGTGATGCAGACTGGCGGGTAATATCGGTACGTAAACATGTTGCCACGAGAAGGGAAACAAGAGCGCCGTTATGCACTCGGACACCGCCATCAGCTTGTGAAAATCAGAGCTCCTCAAGAGGACCTGGTTCTCCAGCAGCACGCAAGTGAACAGCTGAATCAGACAATCCGCCCCTAGCCATGTAAACACGTCCTTGAGAGGATAATCTAGCATCGGTAGCTCCAGCATCGGAGACGGTTGATGGATGACCAGTTCCAGCGGCGACTTCGCCGGTTCGTCGTTAGGTACGTAAAACTTCAGCGATTTGCCGGGCAGCGGTACCGGTATATTGTGCAGGAGGTTGTACACGTAAGACTCTAAACTAAGACCAGGTCCGGGATGTCTAGGAACACACCTGAAAAATTTCATTAATTATTGTAATCCGTAATTTTATCTTAATATACATTGAGTTGCTGCATAAATCGTAATTTGTCAATTTACCGAGCAACAATTTCATCGCTTGTTTCATTTTCGAGATTCATTTCATCGAGATCTTCACGGTTTTTAAATAAATAACATCTATAAATAAAAAATAAGAAGATAAAAAAAAATAAAGATACTTCCGTTCGTCCGTCATCAGTCAGGTACTTTGAAGAAATTATATCTAATCGTTTAAGATAAACGAATCCGTATTAAGAATTGCATACTGCACGAGTTTCGATATAGCCACAATTCAATCACATAAAACATTTGTATAATATTCGAGGAAGATGCTATGGATGTTTGTTGTCCTAAAGAATTGTCAGAATTAAGGCACAAAATTCGGAAAAATGTCCAACAATAATTAAAAATATAATTCAAATATAAAATAATTCAATCTTGTTAAAAAATAAATTTTGATGTGTTCAACAGCAGATAAAAAACTTATGCAACAATTTAACACAATCTTATCACATATTATCCTCTTAATATTGCTTGTCGAAATTAACATTATTTACACTTATATTTGTCTCTTCCTAAATTCGATATTACTTCTCTCAACATTATTTGAAATTTTTGTATCTCAGATTTTACAAGGCAAGCGCATCTTGCGCACACATAAATCGTTACGCTGCAGTTGCAAATGTAGTTGTATAAGAGAGCACTGCGACAGCTCTTTTCAGTAGAGCTTACGTGACTCGCGAACTTCTTACTTGTAGAGATTAGTCAAGAACGTCTTCGCCGCGTAGAGATAAGGTTGCTGGCATAGCAAGGATATCGATTTAGTCACTAGCAACTTGTCTTTGGTATAGTCATAGTATCCTAACGCAGCACTCGGCGAATGAGCTGACAATTTAAAATGACGTGGTAGCGATCTCGTGTTATGTCCGTCCTGGCCCTTCCTCACTCTGAAAAGTCAAATCATGCTTGGAAATACACATTGCGATACACACACAGGCAGTAAAAAAATTCAATAATCAATAATCAATATATTCCTCTATGCAAGGTGCCTAAAAAAAAACCGTGCGTTGCACAAATCGCAGATACACGACTAGCTCTTAACTTGTGAAACTCTTGAATCGTTCTTTCGGTTCAAATAAATTTTAATAAAAATTAAGTTTCAAGTTTAAAGTTAGTAAAATATTTGATGTCACAAGATCTTTATCGAGAAAAGAAAAATAAGAATTCCCTATTCATCCAGGAATCTAAGGACACTAAGACAAAGTGTTTGAAAGAAACTGCGGGTGTAAAGAGAAGAGATTAAAAATGCAATTATACGAAGAGATGACCTACGTGGGAGGTGTGCCGTTTTGACCACTGCTGAGCTCCGTGATGTGCATCGCCTGCAGCGTGTGCATAGCGATACATATCTTGCGATTGCGGCACTCCTCGTAAAAAACAAGGCTGAACCCGTACGTTCGGTGACCGTCTTGCTTCGTGAGGACGAAAGAGTGGAAGGTCGGCTCCACCGAGTGCTTTTGCGTACGGAATCGCAAGCCGCTTGGCAGACAAAGCTATTATCAATGTAATCGATAAGTTACTCCCCTTCACTGCGTGAAACGTGAATGTTCTCTGGACTTAACTCAATATGGTAGAGAATGTTGCCAAAATACTCGAATCTAACATTTCTATAAAATAAAATTTATATTCAATATTTATACTCGATAAGATTTTCATATTCGATGAAATAATTAATTTTATTTAATTGCGTGAAAAATATGTAATTTTGTAATAATAGATATTAATAAATAATTATTACGTTCGGTCAGTTATAAATGAATTTTGCGCGCTTTTCGATCGTATAATAAGCACTATTATAATAAATGCATATAAATTGATATTCATTATTAATTTATTAATTTGTGTGTAATTGTATCTCAGCAATTAGCTGTCATATCAGATACACGTACCATGCAGACGGCGTGATCGTCGAAAGGATTCCATGGTACCGAGTCTGGATAATGTCCCAACACTTTGCCTTCGTACGCTCGATCCAGAGGCGTGCATTGCAATGAGTCACCTACGAAAACAGGGAAGCGACGGCTTTACAAAAAAATATGAGACTTAATATCCATCGTTTGTAAATATATTAATTTTCAGCATCCTGCGAAAAGAAGTTCATTTATTTGCAAGTGGTATTTTTCCGCCGAATCTTTCCCTCGAGCATCGGAAGATTAAAGAACTTCGCTCATTTTCCGTCACAAGTGCAGTTAAACTTGTGGCAGTTCTCTCTTTGCAAACATGGCAGTCGAAATATTTGTGGCGGAAAGAAAAGAAAATTTAGCTTACAACTCAATCTTTCATAAACGATGAAATTTCTGTTCTTCCGCGAGAACTATCTTACTACGGAATCGGCAAGCATGTTATCGAACAAGCCGTGCAGTCTCTCGAACTCGACGTGAATGAGACACGGCGAGACCTTGGCGCCGTCCCAACTACTTCGGAGCAACATCGTTCCCGACGGAAAACAAGAACACTTCTGTATGAAGTTAATCGTTCGTGATCAAAGAGCCACCCAAGACGACAGATGAATCTGCCTCTTGCACGAGTTGACGAAGGAAAGGAACATGAAGGGCGCGGAAAAATTGTGAAACGTAACATAATCTCTTTCTGCAACATAATTAATTACAGCCGATAACTCTGCCAATTAAGTTCTCGCTCTTCTCGATGCAAAGAATAATGAGCGAAATGGAAAAAATAAGAAAAATAAGCGCACTCGGAAATGTAGAACTTTCGTGCAACTTTACATTGTGAAATTTATGATAAAACGTAATCTAAGTTATATAAAAAATATTAATAAAATAATATATAGAAGAAAATAATGATTTATATGTTTGTAGAATTTGTAACGGAATATGAATACATTTTATATTTTATTCATATAAAAAATGGTTTAACTTGTATTATGATGCTATGACTGTATTGCAAAATGAGTTTTCGTTGCATTCATACTGCTTTAATATTGCTCAAGGCAGACGGAGTTTCTGAAATTTCATTGCAGCTATAAAGGTAAGTGACGATCGAAACTAGGAAATGGAATTCGACGCAAGCATTACTTCCGTTTGCGAAAATCTACGGTAAAGCTTCATAAGCCATTGCCGATGTCTCTAACTTTCCTCGGATTAGAGAACCGGATAGTATGCACATCCTAAGTTCGTGCCCCGCATTAATCTACGTGCATTCGAGGATTCGTGCTATGGAATAATTCTCGACGCTGCGTGCTGCAACAATTGAAACCCGTTAAGCAGTATTTTTATTGTAAAGTATCTTATAAAGTTGCTCTATTACATTTTATCGCCGAAGCTCTGTGAAAATAACATCGTTATTCTGTTCAATCAATATGTTTTACATTGATAAATATTTTAATATTTATTATATTTTTTATGCATCAATAAATTCCTTTTTTTTTTAGAAAATGGAAAACAGCGAGAATTGTAATTTATACAACTTTCAAGAAATTTGAGGCACGTTTAGTTATAATAAAAGTCGCGACAAAAGGAATATTTCTCATATGAGGCATTTCGTATTTCTGAATAAATCCGGGATTGGTTTTAATCTGAAATCTTAATTGATGTTATCAACTGTTCTGCGGGTCAATCTCCGTTTGGAAATGACGTTCACGAAGCGGTGATAATCGAATGGACCGATTGAGTCAGTCGTCGTCGAAATCACCAGTTTCGATTAACGGGACGATAGCTTTTTTCCGATATTTTCATTTTCCTGACATCTACACACATGGGGTTTTCAAATAATAAATCGTTGTACGTCGAATGGCTTACAGCGAGTTTTAGTCTATTTTACACGCTCGTCGTATCGCGTATTTGTAGAAAACTGCGCATCATGCAGAATCAAGGATTTCCGATTAAATATCAATGCTGCAAAAACTCGCAGCAACTTTACTTCAAATATGTAGTAAAAAAAGATGTAAAGTAATAAATGCGTAACTTTTATCACGCTATAAATTATTTGAATTGACAAATATCGTAAATCATAAATAATATATTTTTTAATCCATTAATTATCATACGCTTTTTTTCTATGTGATATTTAATTTTTTTCATTTTGTGCATTGTCTTCTTTAAAAGAAAAGAAAAATTTTATTCTAAATTTAACAACAAATGTTATGATTCAGCACCTTATGCAATGGCATGAATGTTATCGATAAAAGCTTATCTACGATCTACTTATCTAAAATCATTGTAAACTCATCATAAAAACAAGTCATGATCTGTCGTCATCGTGTTTTATTGAGCTTTGAAAATTAATGACCGACTTCTCAAAATAAACGCTGAGTCTATTATCTCGCGAGTCTTAACACGCTCTTATTTTTTATGATATATTCATTAAATTTTCTAACAAAATTGTGTAACAAAACTTTCAACACATATTTAATTAGATACATTTAATTATCATGAGAATACTGCTGGGGACGAAAGATTGTATGCTTAAGATCTTACTGGCTCGTCCTAGTTATTCGCGAATTTACTTCTTAAATACACACACACACGTCTTTCCATACTTTCTACTTTCGTGCACGCTTCGCTGCTGACAATGAGACTTATTACAGACTTATTACAAGTATATTCTTAATTATATGTTGCCAACATCAAAATGCGGTTACTAACGGTGATGAAACGGTAGTATAAAACTTACGCTGCTTCTAACTTGTACTATAAATTCTTCCTTGCAAATAACGTGAAAATCAAGGATGTTTTCAGAATCTTTTCTACATAATTCGTTCAAATTTCGTGCAATATATTTTTGATTTTATATTTCATATAATTTACGAAACATTTAACATTTGAAAAGTTGTCTTATCACCAAAAATAAATGTCACAATAAATTTCCAAATAAGGTTTTATGATTTCGTATAAAATTACTCGATTATATCCTGTATATATTAAAATCACAACTCTTTCGCGAAGGTTATTGATCCCGTTTAGCGATTCGCTTATTTGCGAGGATAAACATCACGCGGATGACGGTGGATTTATACGTGACACGAAGTAAATATAAAATACAAAACGAGCGAGAACCCCAGCCGCGCAACACGAGAAAAAGAAAACCTCGCCCGAAAAAGAAGAAGGGAAAGAAACAAAACGAACAATAAACGACGACATGCTCCTGTGCTGTGGAAAGTATTGATTTGAGAGTATATGATGTACGCACGAAGTGCTGAACAAACGAATATTTTCTGCGAATCCGCCTGTAGTAAGTACGTGGTGCGCCCACGTGTGCTAAATGCGTGTGTCGACTGCATGTGTCACGCGAGAAAGAAGGGGAGCAAATTTTTGTGAATTTCTACGAAATATAAGAGGTCTAAAAGCGATATACAAACAGTATTATCTTAAAAAAACTTACATTTTTTACATTAATGTAAAACTTTTGCAACTCATTGAATTTGATTATTGAAGTGATTACATCGATAAAAATATTAAGAACTAAAGTTTTGAAAAATATTTTTGTGAAATAAATTTCTGCAATAGAGAAACATTAAATAAAAGCTGAAAAATATTGATTAAATTTTATTAAACATTAAGATACAGACTGTTTTGGGGTAGCTTATATTAGAAAGCATTATTTTTGAATAAATCTTATCTGCAAACGTCAAAAGTTATCATTGACCCTAAGATATACTTGTTGATAACTGTACCAAATGTTTAAATTTCAAGATAAATTTTGTTTCTTATAATAACATTCTAAAATTCTAGAATAAATAAATAAAATTCTTTTATAATAATTAATTGGACAAGATTTATTTTAAAATAATATCTATTAAAACAACCCGAACAATCTGATAAAAATATTAAATTTTTCTCGCTTTTATTTTTATTTTTAGCAAAATTTCTGTTAAAAAAAATTAATTTCTCTATTGCTTTAATTATTCAAATAAGAATAAACTAATCACATATGTCTATATTAATAAAATCAATAAAAAAATAACATGTATTTCTTAGTGAATGTTCCGCGATTCTTTTACAATTGAAAAATTATGTCGCTGCAAGAAATTTGGGAAGCGCTATTTTAGATTAATGTTCCCGAATACAGATCTAGCTTGTGGCAATTTGTTAGAGGTGCAAGAACAGTAAAGTAAAGTACGTTTTTTCTCTTGTTTTGTTCGCTTCCATGCGCGGCTAGAGCCTGCCAAAGTGCCGCGTCGTCCCGCCCGAATAAGTCGCCTCTCCCCTTCTTGTAGGCACGTATGATGTCATCGTATGCAGGGTCATTTGTACATGAAAGGGCTACTGGTACTTAAGTATGCGTTTAAAAGGCGGAAGCGTGGTTATAGAACCAAGTCATGATGCATAAGCACAATGCATCTACGCATGAACACTATATGTAAATAAAAAAGGAAGAACTGCGTTTTATACTCGCTCAATAATCTTTGCTAAAAATATATTCAATGCAGAAAAATTTATGCTCTTCTTTGATGAATAATTTTCCCCACATTCAGTCGCAATGATAAATTTGGCGATGGCAAATCCAAAATAATCGAACGAAACGCACGAAGAGCGTTTGATAGAGCTGATGTTTCGTGCCTTAAAAAAACCTAAAATCTAACAGACTGAAAATAAGTACTCAAGGGGTAATGCCACCCCTATACAAACCATTATTCTTTGGACATACGCAAAGAAGGGTGAGGCTCGAAATGAAAGGAATAGAGCATAAGAATATCGATGGCTAATATTTGCAAAAAAGGAACATGCAAGGCACTAGAAAAGTTTGCTAAAAATAAACAAAGAGAAAAGTTAACAGAAGCCCACGCAATAAATAAAAAAAAAGTATAAGATTATTATTAAAATTTATAAATTAAATATAAAATTATGTTAAAAGTAGTAAATCGCAAGAGAAATTGTATATAGTTCTAGTATGACAATTTTTAAATATTTTACAACTGCTGTGTCGCACGTCACAGTAGGAAATAAGCTTTTTGTAAGTGTAGAGTAAATGTGTTTCACGCTCTTCAAGAATACGATACTTTTGACGGAAAACAGCTAGTTTGACGATCGAGCTATTGTATTCTATTTGAAGCAAAAGAATGGAGAACTGTTGAGAGAAACTGGGTGAAGTGCTGTGAACCGTCAGTTATTGGCATTTGCAAATCGACGACTCGGCAAGTTTGCAGTTAATCGAGAAATCAACAGAACAATTGACAGCATGTAATTAAAGAAATATAGGCAACACGAAGGAAATAACATTTAGCATTGTAATTAATCTGACAACATATCTTATAAATTATATTTATATATATAAATATAATTATAAATTTATAATTGTACTATAAGAATAGTAAAATAATTAAAATAAAAATAAAAATAGTAAATTTTTATATTTTTATTTTATTAGCTAGTCATGTGTAATGGCACACACATACAGTCTCAATAAAGTTTTAAAGGAATATTAAATTTTTGCTAAATTCTGAAGTTGCTATTACTCTTGTGTATATCCCGTACAATAAAATGCTAATATCGTAAACACGTAAACTTTGACCTTATTCTCAGACACGCGTTAGCTTTTTTTATGGATATTTTTATACTTCTAGGAGGATCTAGGAGGCTGCCAATCTCACTAAGAGTTAACCTTAAACCCTACGTAAATCCGATAATCCGTATTATGTGTTATAAATAGCATTACATAATATTATTGAAGTTAATAGATTCAATCATTTAATCATGAAAAAATATATAAAATCGTGCGCGCATTTCTATATAATATAATTCTAAATAACTGCAATTTCTCTATATTTATCTGAGAGAAAAATTGTTTTTATTCTCATTTATTTGCAATTTTTTCAAAATTAATATTAATAATGATTATCTTAATCGTTTTAAATATACACTTTTTATTTCAAAAATGTTTTTTTTTTTCTAAAATTACTTGCACTTTTTCGATGAGTTAACCCAGCAAGACAAGCAAATAAATCTCGACGCAATTTGAAGTCTCAAAGCTACAAGGACGACGTTGACAAATAACCAACAGCAAAACAAGTAACTCATCACGGAATACAAGCAGCTTTAACCGTGGATGTTCTCAGGGGAGAGCCTCTCTCTCTCTCTCTTTCTCTTCAAAACGATCTTACCGCGGAAATCTGTTCTGTGAGTGAACAAGAGCATTTTTTGTCAGAAGAATTATGCCATTTGCTACACTGCTATTGTGGGGCTCCCTGGTTGTGCGTAAGCATACAATTGCTTACGGCCGACAAAGAAGCCAACGGAATCGACCGCGCGGTCCACTCCGCATACTACGGATTCAGCTGCTCCGAAGAAATCAGTTGTCAAACGTTCCATTCATCCGCTAAGAAAGGTATACATCGCACATTTGTGTGTGTGCTTCTTATATATAGCCTTCTTTTCCTCGAAAGCCCAAACGTACATCTGTCTCATTGCAAATGCAGAAAGCGTAAGAAAGGCACTATTGAAGTCAACAGACTCCTAGACATTTTTATATTTTATACACTTGAAATAAAATATATCTTCTCCATTTCATCGATGTCATGGTTAATTGTGTAATTGCAAATTTACATTAAATCGCTAAAAACTGATTACACAAGCGGCTGATTCGGCAATATAACAATTTGCATCTTAAATTAAATATGCTAAAAATTTGGCGAGTTAATTTTCGCAAAATATTGTTTAATTATGATATAACTGAAAATTTTATTAAAATTTTGAATAACAATTGAACTTTTTGTTAGGAATTTACATTGTTCAGCGACAAGTTAATTAATTTTCGCAAAATATCGTTCAATTAAAGTATGATTAAAAATTCTATTAAAGTCTTGAATAATAATTAAAGTTTCTGTTAGCTTTCATTGTGTGGATAAGCCTAATTTCTTTCATGCGCGAAAATTACTGTTGACATTTAAACAGATATTAATCTTTGATCACAGTGTATGTGATATACCGTGGTGTGATATGTATATGGATAATTTTGAAACACACAGTATGCAGTAGTCGCGCCCTTCATTTTGAGATACAGATTTTCTTGCAAATTGAAAATTAATATCGTTTAAATTATAGGATAGTTTAAATATCCGTCTAAAATCAGCTTTGTTTTCTGCTTTAAAATATAATTGAATTATATTTAAAATATAAATATTGTATTAAATTATATTTTAAAATATAATTGAATTATATTTTAAACAATTAAAACGCTTGCTTTTTTTTCATTTCTAATACGCATCCTCCCTCTGTTTTCGCCAACCTTCGATTAACAACAGTCGAGGGTGAAAAAGACGTTTACTCTTCCGCGTTATTTTATATTTCTTTCGAGTCAGTATAAATGCTGAAAATACGCATGACGTTCCATTGAAGCAAATCAAGCACTAAAAAAACCGCGATAATTAGATTATCTCTACACGTATGCTCTAATTTCATACAATGTTCCTTCTCTATTCTTCTATCTCTCTTTCTCTCTCTTACGTTATTCCACACCAAAAATGAGCATAAAGAAACCGCGAGATAGTGGCGAGAGCGCAATATCACAGCGCGCAAAGGAAAGTCGTAAGTGAAAGAGCTTACCGAAATACTTGTCTGGTTCCAAACCGGAGTCCTTGTCCAAGCCGCATATGACAAAGTAATCCGCGAACCGCAGTGGATGTTGTTCCGAGCCGCGCGCCCCTATTCCCAGGCTCATGTTCATCTTCCCCGAATTAACGAATTTGCAGCAGCGGAGTTTGCCGCTCACCTCATCCAACACTGCCGCCTTCACGAAATTGATCTCCACATCGTGCACCACCGACGCGGAACTGTCGTTTTAGAAAACGACAGCTGAGCGAGCGCGTTACGTTACAGCACGACGCGCACGGAACGACGCACACCGAGTGCTCTGCGGATCAGATTGGAACACGATGTGCGAGCCTCCCGCGGACTACCGCGAATAATTGATCTTTACTGCGGCGCTTGAAGCTGGCTGCGAGCTAATACGATGAATTTTGGAACGCAGAGAGATCATAAGGGTATATTCAGATGTAATTGCATACTGGCGTAATTGCATAATGCATTAGGAAATTAACCAATCACGTGTCTGATGTGAAAAGAACCAGCACAGCAATGCCATCATACGGTCGAGTTTGTTAGTTCAAGAACCCCATTTTACTGTGTTTTTAGCACGGACGATACGGCCCAACCTTATGTCGAGCCGAGCCTCATAAACACGCGATACGACGGGGCGGTAGCGGCTCCTTTAGGATTTTCATCTTTTTACATAGAATGGAGGAGATCGACAATATAATAATTCACTCATTGCGACAAATAGGCTGGTAAGTGTCACTCACGGACGCGAATTAACTCTCGATCGCTTAAACGTTTATCGCTTTTCCTAAAGCAGTAGAGTGGGCGGTGTTTTTACGATTGTCCTGACCGAATGTCGTACACGTGAGACTATCACTTGGGAAGCTGTCATATCTCACTTTTTCGTCGGCACGAGAGAAATGCATGTAAAACGGAATGTTTTAATGAATTTCGACAAGAAGATTAACGTTTCACAAGAATTTTATAAAAATATTTATTATAAAACAAAAAGAAATGTCTTCTGTCTGTAACTAGGAGAAATTTTAAATTAAAATTGTCACAAGTTGCTTTATATATTTTGTAACTTGTTGTCCTACTATAATTAAATTTCATTTTTAGTGACATTGAAGAGAGCATAACAAACCTAAGTGGCTTTAATACCGAACTTGTTGTGGAAGCAACAGTAAGATGCTTAGAAGCAATAAGGCCTGGTTCAGGATTGTCCACTGTGTTACCCGTGAACATGGCAGCGCGTTTTCGATTGGGCGCCACTCTTGCACAAATGTGCACGGTAATTATTTCTTCAGTATTCTAATTTAGCACAATTTGCATAATTATCTGATTTCACTAATTTTTAATCAATTAAAATTTCAGGAACTTGGGTACAGAGGTGACATTGGCTATCAAACATTCCTATATAACTCAGAAACAGATTTGCGAAGGGTATTTATGTTTCTCATCGAAAAACTGCCAAAGGAGAGTGAGAAAACTGTAAACGAATCTATCAGCGAAGTCGCTTTGTTAGAAAAATCAGTAGCATCTGCGATATCGCGAGGACTTTCGATACCATGGTTACCGCATTATTGTCACAGAAAGGGATTCAGAAATAAAGGAAGAGCGAGTATTCCTTATTCATCTGTAAATATAGAAGTACCAATGGAAAATGCAGAGGATGGTAATGTAATATCAATATAAATTGGATTATCTTTATGTTTTTTCTAGCAGTAGAAAAAAATAATATTGATCGACAAATGAATGAAATACCATTATTATTATAGATACCAAGGACTATTATTTGCGCTATTTACGACCAGTGCCTGATCAAATGCATAATATCTCATGCTTTTTACCTTCCATGATATCGTATAATGCAAGAGCGCTTAATGCTTCTTCAATGAACATTATGGACCGCATAAATTGGCTCAATAGCCAACAATTGGAAAAAACTGTTTATTCCAATACACATAATATTGTCAACGAGCTTAGCAAATTTTCATCAGAGAATAAAACAAAAGTTTCAACAGTAAGCATATAAATACAATCTTGTACAGAATTTATTAAAATATTATCTTACATATTCAATATGATTGTTACTTCTAGGAGCCTCAGGTCAAACCAGAATCTCCAATACATTCAGATCTTCCAGACCAGGAAACATTAAGAAACAAAGCAAAGCAGGAAGTTGAGAAAGAAAATACAAAGACAGAATGCGAGAATCTTAGAATAAGCATAGAAGAATTGCAAAACGAAATTAAAAAATTAACTACTAGATTAACGCAAGCAACAATAACTGGTCAGAATGAAGAAAAGGAATTAAAAATTAGTGAAGAGCAAAAGAAGATTAAAGCAAAAGCATACGAATTGCTTCAAGATGGACCGGAAAATATTAAGAAATTGGAATCCGCAATTGAGGCTAGCACGAACAAATTGATTAATTTAGCAAATCAATGGGAGAAGCATAGAGTACCTTTAATCGTGAAGTACAGGCAAGAAAGAGAAAAGCATTCCACAAAAGCTGTAAATATATAAAATTAACAAGTTTAAGGTAACAAAAAGACATCATCTAAATACTTACATTTTTGCTTACAGAATGCGAGCCAAAAGAAGCTAGATGAAATAAAATTGTTAAAGGAGAAGGAAAAAGAACTTCAGGAAGAATGTCGCAATAAGGATCAACAATATTCGCAGCTGGTTGCAGAAGTTCAAAAACTGCCGAAAGAAGTGAATAGATCCGCGTACACTCAACGAATCTTAGAAATAATAAATAACGTGAGAAAGCAGAAGGACGAAATAAGCAAAGTTCTGGGGGACACTCGTGAGATTCAAAAGGAAATTAACACGCTTGACGGCAGAGTGGAAAGATCCTTTACTGTCGTAGATGAATTGATATTCAGAGACGCGAGAACGAATGAAGCGTCGAAAAAGGCGTACAAGTTGTTGGCGACGTTACACTCAGAATTCAACGAACTCGTAAGTTTAGTTGAGGAAACTGGCGCGACAATACGAGAAATTAGAGATTTGGAAGAACAGGTGAGATATTGATATATTTAAAAAATTTGCACACGTAAAAAATTGATTATTCTTACGCGTAACATCCGATTTAATATTTGTTCAGATCGATACCGAGTCCGCTAAGAATGTCGGCGCTAATTTGGAGAGAATAACTGCCGATTTGAAACAGATGAAGCAAGAAACCGCCGCGTTAACAGCACAACTCCAAAGTAAAGCCTCGTGATTGTTATATACAGCATGGCGTGACTTCAAGAGTTGTAATATTCAGGATCAGATGAGAATCTAGCGCAAGTATGGTGCGTAGTTGCGTGCCTGACCAGAATAATATAAATAATTTGAACGCATTCTCTAGAATGTTACATAAATTATATTTATTTTACAGAATATAAACGAACACGATCAAATGCATCAAAGACCAAACATTTTCTAGCTGTACAGTTGGCAAAATATAACGTGATATTATACCCACAAGAGTCTTCATAAGTCTACTGAGTTAACTGCTAAAAAAAATGTGCCTTGGCCTGGAGTCGTCAGGCACTAGGCTTCTACAGCCTCGGGCCAAGTGTATAATAAAGACATGTTGTTAACATCAACGCTCAAGAAAACATTATTTGTTACAAAGCCTAATAATTTTTTAGCATCGAGTTTCAATTTCCATATTTCTCACAGCTTAAAGATCTGACTTATGTAAGTAAAATAAATGCTGAAACGTGACTTTCGCATAAAGAACATGTACAAAATATAGGATGTGTACGAATAACGGTGAAACCAATTTTTAACACTTTATACATACTCTCCTTGTATGTAAATTATTTTTATAAAATAAGAAATATGTGATATACACATATCGCAGTACTAGAGTAACAAGATAACAGTTTCGTTGGTCTTTTTTAGTTTCGATCCTCTGTACATATACTTGTTTCCTACTTCCTTTTTTTTATAGCACACATTCTATTTTGTCGTTTTAACATCTGGTGGTACATAAGACTCCGTGGTAATTAGTGCTCTTAATTTCTGCTTGCTCCTGCGCATGGCATGGATACGTTCGTCCTCTCTGCGTTCTTTTTCCTGTATCTTCTCTATTTCCAATTCAATTTCTTCCTCTTTGTTGAAGAATGTTAAAAGTTGTTCCCTCTCTTTCAAGTCCTTCTTTATTCTGTCTATATTAGCTATTCTTCTTTCTCTATCTATTGCTTTTATTTGGATTTCTAGCACCGAATTCCTTACACGATCCCAATCGAGATAATTCTGAAAAATATCAAGATGCTTAAAATTATTACAACTTGATACTAGATATAAAATAATTGATCAGATTTAAAAGAATGTTCTTCATCAATATTTCATTACCTGACATTGTTTAGAGATGTCCTTTTCTGCTTCTTCCTTTACAGCAACTTTAACAAGATTTTCCATCGCTTCAATTAAACTTTCCTTAAGATTTTGCTGCTTCTTTAAGGCGGACAATTGAGCTTCCACAAGTTTAAACTTTTCAATATTTGGTTCTTGAAGTTCACTATTGTCTTTAGATATTAATTCAAATACTTCTTCGTAAACTATGTTGTCCTCTCTGTGCATTGTCTCCAGCCAGTTCTTTATTAAATTCAATACATCATCATATCTTTTATATAAAATTAAACCTCTCAATTGACAAGTTCTTCCTACAGCATCTGTCCTGTGCTTCCCTTGAAAACTCAAGGTCTTGCCAACAAGATCTCTCGGATTAGTGAGATCAAAATGATCATCAAAGAAGGGATTTCTTATATACTTTACACGTATCTTTTTTTCCTCTTTGGAGGTGTCCACTGGAACTTCAGGTTTTTTCCAATCATCAGGATTCTCCAAATACTTGTGACATGCGTAAAGGCACAAGGCATTTGTGATAGGATGAGCCAGTTCTTCTTGCAGCATGACCAAACTTGCTATCTTCGCAGCGGAGGCATAATTCTTCTTCTTTATAAAATGGTCCATAAGCATGTTGTAGTCGAAATAATCAGGGAAAATACCGTAATTCAGTCTGTCGCTCAGCATCTCGTGCAGTTCTTCGATGTAATCGTATCGCAAGAAATATCGTATTGCGGCGTGGTGCGTTGAATCCAGGATATTCGTCGCTTCCGTGGACGTCCTGAGATTGTGCAGCATCTTCATTATTTGATCAAGATACGCGTCGTCGGTGATGCTGTTGATGAAAATGTCAACGTCGACAGCGCTCACCTTGCCGACGTTTCCGTACTTCTGCTCCAGCTCCACGAACATTGTCGACGGCTCGATCTTTTGCAACAACGGTGATTTCAATCTGCGATCCCATGCTTCTTCGCAGCGATACGCATCCGACAAAAATAATCTTTTCTGCATCTTGAGCGCATTTTTGGATCCATGATAAACCCGGCAAAGCCTATGACTTGATCTGAGTGTCTTCAACATTCTGTATTTGTGTTATTCCTCACTATGTGATTATAACCTCATATTACTACGAATGATGAACTTACGATAAACGATAGACGAGCAGTGTGGTCAGATTTGAGCCGCAATTTTAGCCAAGATTCAAACCAATTATTTTATTCAAGACTCAAACCATTTGGTTTAAGCACCGGCTTTTATCGCGCATGTGTGGCGAACGCGGTATAGTCACGGTCAAAAATATTGCAATAATTTTTTGTTTAATGAGTTTTGGAACGCACCAAAATCGCAAGAACGTTCTTGTGATTTTGGTTTATTTTACAATTCATTAATCGAAAAAATGTTCTAACTTTTTTGTCGCTGACTATACATAAATTTTCTTACAACGGAGCTAACCTCTCTTGACGTGTGTGATTGTTTACATATGTATACAAATTTGGGTGTTTTGTGATTTATAGTATTTTATATGTTTAACAGTGCGCTTAATAATGTTTGCGTTAATGGGAGAAGTAAATTTCTGGACTTTTGATGATAATGTAAATATAGAGGATACAGACTTCGGTGCATTCAAGTAAAAAATATTATCTATTATTAATAACAATTTTTTAACGCATTCTTATTACATTATTGTAACAATTTAATTGCTTTAATTTTTTAGATATCATGACAAACGAATCGATGGCACGTATGAAGAAGGTAAAAGATCTTACTGTCAAGAACGTGGAATGACTTATGTCCCAGGAAACAAAAAGGGAAATAAATTGAAACATTCCATCAAGTACTTGGAGGTACACAAACCCATCATGACTTGCTAACTGAATTCAACAGAGATTACAAAATTTTTATTGTTGTCTACAGGATCAGCTGAAAGACAATTCTGTGATTTATTGTCAGTGGTATGATGACTCTATTGTACAATTAATGCTCAGCAATGGATTGTTGATACAAATACAAGTTTGTCTCTACAGTGGCGATATACAAGAAATTAACTTTGACAAGTATCTTGTAGGGAAATTATCGGAATATATCTCCGATGGTAATGCATTATTTTATTCTGCCTTCTTCAATTAGAACCTACTTATTACATGAAGAATAATATATCTTATTTAATTCACAGTAATTATCACCAAGAGCCATTTAGTTTGCACATACAATGATAACCTAGTGACACTGGTATATTTTACAAAATCTAAAACACATGTCTTTGACAAGATCAATAAGTTGGAACCTAAAATAGTCACGACAGACTTATTTGTGCCTAATGGACGTAGATTGGATAAGAAAATTCAAATGAACAAGTCTGCTGATCTGGTAAATAGCCTTTAAATATTATCGAAAACTTAAGAAAAAGTTTACCTGATAGTCATCTCTATAAGAAGTATCTATGTATCTTTATAGATACTAATTTGGCGAAAATCCACAATGAACGAAGTTTATCCTTGGAGCCCTGCTGTGAAACAGTATCATCGTGCAAACATGCATCTCTTTCGACTTACAGGGTATGAAATAAAAAATATAGCTAGCATACTTTTGTTATCTTCTTCATCCTTTTCAACATTTTTTGTAGAAGTTTCCTGTGTTTCTTCTATTTGATCTGGTTTTGCTGTATCTTTCACTGTATCAATAACTTCCTTCTTTCTTTTCTTCTTTGCTTGCTCTATTTTCTTACACAAACATTCATTTCTCTTCTTATGTAATTCCCATAAATCTTTCTTGTATTGAGGAGTAGTTGATAATTCTGTGGCTATGCTTTTAGTAATCCTTTTTGGCAAATCCCATGTGCCCTTATTGTATGTATAGTATTTTTTATTACAAATTTGTATGTTACATGCAAAAATTTAAGAAATAATGCTATCTTATAAAGACAGATTTTTATGTGTGTGGAATCTTAATGCATTTGTAATTTACACAAACTTTATATATTTCCCATGGTGAATGTTTGGCTTTGTTAGCGTTGTCTAATATGCGTCCATTGTCGTCTGTGATAAATTTTGTAGTAATACAATGTTTATCCGGCCAACTAGGATACCATTTAGGAACTTCCCAGTTTCGCAATCTTTTTGGAGTAAATGTATATTCTGTCCAATGACCATGCCAGTGTTGAGACATTTAGTTTTTTTCTGTTTTGTAATCTTAATACACGTAAATTTTTACTCTTGTTTCTATTTTCTGTTCTGATTCTTTTTAAGATTGCAAATGTGGTTAGTTACGATGTTACCATGCTCGTTGCTATGGTCATGCGAATCAATTATGCTTATGCAAACACTAATGCACGTATGTATGTAGTGTATGAATGTGAATTTAATGATTCAAATTTTCAGAACGAAATTAGAGTTGTTATGTTACATACGTACTGAGTTTGATCCCTTGTGTATTACGTTTGATGCATGCGATGACAATATTATCCATTCTGTAGAACAAAAAGTCTCAAGGAAGGTAATTGTGTAGTTTATATACATATAAATCTAATTCTAATTTAATTATGTTATATTAAAAATGTACGAATGTTATACACAGGGAGAAGTCACTGTAGAATGGCGTACTTACGAAGTTTCTCGGCAGAATAAATTGAAAAGAATTGCTGTGATTTCCATATCACTGCCAACACACACGAGCTGCGTGAGATTTTCGCCTAATCAGGAATTATTACTGCTATGTTGCATCGACGGCACTATTATGATGTACGATCAAACGAAATCAACAACCACCAGTGTAAAAGCTGCTTTTGTAAGTTTTATATTCATCATGTTAATAGATAACATTTTTTAGACAAATGTATATGTTTTTTCTTTTTATTTCAAGATACCTACTTTAGCTTCTTGGCATAGCAACGGTATAATATTCGTGGTAGGCAATGACAGAGGCCAGTTTCAACACTTTGACATCACTTTAACGTGCATCAAAAGTCAGACATTGAACGATGAGGCAACAGCCGCGAATATTCTTGACTTGTCGCCGTATTTTAGGTATGAATAACGAAATAATTAATAGATAACTTGCCAAAATAATTAAGCAATGACGATAAAACTCGATGAATGACATCTACATTGTACAAAGCAGGAATCAGCACGCATTGTTACGTATGGAATGGAACAAGAAAAGCGATCCGAATCAAATTCGCTATTATAGTAACGGCAATTCTCTGTTCTTGCTGCTTTTTGAACGGTAAGGATCATGTAATAACAATGTTCAATATAAGTTGGTATAATTTATCACGTTTTAACAGAGGGCCGATTGGTGTAATCAAAGTGATCGAAGGCGATACACTTTGCGGAGATGAACTAGTCAGAAGGTATTTGTCCGAATCTCGTGTGGAACAAGCAACTGCCCTGCTGCTGTCAATGAACTGGGACACGCATCCACGTGTGTGCATGCACTCGCTCAATCAAATTTTAAATTATCTATTCAAGTTACCATTAACAGCGGATCGTGAAGGTAAGATCGAATTTTATTATTTCTAATAATTATAAAACTATTTGTGAGTTAAAAAAATCAATTGTCCCGATCTAACAGGTCTGATACAGACTGCATTGGGCAGTTTCCACGTGCCCGTTAAACCGATCAGCCAAACTGTCGAAGAGGAGTACGGAGACGAAGTGAGGGATTTGACGAGGCGATTTTTTCATCATTTATTGAGGTAACGTATTGCTGATTCAGCACAGAATATTAAATTGTTCTAATAATTGTATAAACTTTGCAGATATAGGATGTTCGAGAAAGCCTTCAGACTGGCCATCGATTTAAACGATCACGATCTCTTCATGGACATACATTTCTATGCTGTAGTTTTGAATGACACAGAACTGGCGACTGCGGCCAAAGAGAAAGCCGAGAACATTCTAAGCAGGTCGAATAGTTGCAGTGGCTCGCGTAAGAATCAATATAAATTCTTCCGAGAAAAATATTGTGAAAAAGAAGCAGTAATATATTTAGAAATTTTTATAGATTCGACATGTTCGAGAGCATCGTGCTCTATATGCTCAGATTCGAGCGATGAAAAGGGCGAAGACGAGGAGGAGGAAGAAGAAGGGGAAGAGGAAGAAGAAGAAACATATAGCGAAGAGAGCGAAGACTCTCGGACTAATCTGAAACAACCGAAAAGGCACCATTACAGAAAAGCCACCGGTTCCAGTCAAATACCGCCTTTACCAGTTCTTCATTCTCACAATATCAAGAACACGCTTGCTGCGTCCTACAACAATATTCCGTTCACCAATAAGACTGACTACACCTTGATACCGCCATCTTTCGACGCCGCTAACAGTATTTTAACGGCAGCTCCGTTCAATCACTCTTCGCATATTTCGAACCCGTTTCTGGCATCGACTTCTTTCAACAAACCGTTGTACAATACACATTCGAATTTCCCGCCAGCCAGCACGGCGAACATCAACAGTTCTTCGGCGTTTAACAATGCATCGGACGATTTGATGACCACGTCATTCGGCAGCGTTTCCATAACCGAATCGGAGGTGTTGGTCGACGATCAACCCGGCGATAATTTCGACGGAATGCCGTACAACAAAACCTTGCTCAACGAGATACCGTATTCCTTCAGTAGTTCTGCCGCCAACGCGATAACGACTTGCGCGCAGGAGGACAGCTTTATTTCGACCCCCTTTAACAAGTCGGTATACGAACCCGAGAACATTCAGTCTAATTATTTGGCAATTCCATTAGACGCCGTTGATACTAATATCATGTCGACGTCGTTCAGCACGCGAATTGCGAGCACCCCTGTTTCGCACAATAACTCTTTCAGCGTATTAGCGGCGAATAATAAGTCTGAAACTTCTTCCGTCTTGCGGGGTACGAAGTCTCCGAAGATATCCGATAAACTGCTGAGTAAAATTCTGAATGACACTGACACTCTTGCAACGGATCAGTCGTCTCTTCTGGACAGTACCTGTAACAATCTGATGTCTACCTCGTTTACTTACCCCGAAGATATCGCAGCTTCCGAAAGTAGTGATATCGCATTCCCCAGCACGCTCAACAACGATCAAGCCGCTAAATATTCCGTGGCAGAGAAGGAAACTGGCATCAATATTCCACCACCGCCCTCCCTGACAAGTTCTCTGTCTAATTACCTCCATGGTCTACCCAGAAAGAATTATCCTTTGTCTAGAAGCACTCCAGGTTTAACGGATTTCGACGAGTCGCTGCATAAATTTCAAACGTCCAACAAAGCGATGCACGTACCGCCGTACATCTTGCAAAAACAGAATTCCACGTCCAACATCCCTCAAAGCCAGAAAGTCGCCCCATCTTTCAAAATCTACAGATGCAACTACGATCTGGATTACGTGCCGTTTCACGGCACTTACGATGACGCAGACTTACAAACGGCCAATAGAAAGTTTGCCTCGCAAAACTTTCATCCTGGCTACGGCATGCAGCACAGATTATTCGAAAGTAGATACCCGTCGAGATCTCTCCAAAGCAATGCAAGCGTTAATATAAACAAGGAAGGTAAAACATTTTCCAATGTACCGCCTCTGCCTGTAATTAACACATCCACTGCCAGCTCAAAGATTTACCCCACGTGTCCGCCATTCGTTAATGCGGGAGTAAGTTCTAACGAGAAGCCCAAAGTGAAATTCTCAGACACTGTCACTCATATATTAGTACCTGGTACGGTAAGTAGTATTCTTAACAAAGATATACTTGTGTCTCTATGCATAAACATGTCTAATAACGTATATTTTACGTATGTCTTTTCAGAGTCAGATACATAGGCAGAAACGACCTGTCACACAATCACACATAACAGATCCTAAACGTGAGTTAACTGAAAGTCTTCCACTTTGCTTGGGTAACGAAGATTACCTTAAAGATTTTCAACCGTTACCTAGTAAGCATTTTACATATTTGTTCTATTGAGAAGCGTTATAGTTATACATTTTATCATTTCAATTCTTAATATTTTGCAGAAGACAACACGGATGAGAAAATAAAAGAACCTCCCAAATCTGACGACAGTACAAAGATTAAAGTTGTTCATTTTGGCTTACTGTAAGCCCCAGTATTATTAAGAAAAATATTAATTTATTAGAATTAATTTTCACGATTTTGAAAAGTATTAGCAAGTACTAGAATTAATCTATTTTAATCATTTTATCAGAATTTTAAAAATAATAAGACTGTATTGCGAGATATTTTATACGAATATTTTTATATCGAATCTTTTGTAAATATTATGTAATATTCTCAGGAAAATTAATAAAAAAATGTCTATTGTGACTAATCTTATGATTATTGTTTAAGTTTTCAGTATTATAAAAATTTGCTTATAGAAAAATATCTACATTAATATATACATACGAAACATTTTGTACTTAGATTCTATATTAATTGGAGTAATGTACATTTAAATTATTAACTTTTTTTGAACTCATTCAATGAAGACTTTAAGTCCAACAATTCTTTGTCTGGTACATATCGCTTCATTTCTATCGCAGGATCATAAACGTCTATATTTAGAGTGACACCCTGTGGTAATGCTGCTTCCAAAGCTCTGATTAATATCGAACATTTCATAGAGGACATATCTGACAGTTGCATATGCCTTTCATATATTTTAAGATTATACTCAGACACAACTGCTGTTGTTCCAGTTTTATATTTCTGAATCTTGAATTCTTGATGTGGTAACGGCCAACTGAAAAAACCGTGAACTACGTTAAAAATTGAAAAAATGACATTAAAATAGATTAATGCGAATTTTTACCTGTTGTCTACATCGATCTGCATAGTTTCTGCCAACTTATGCATGAAAGTTTGATAACTTTCAAGCACACTATAATCATAACCTTTAATTTGAATATTTATCGTAGGTAGAAGCGGAACTTTCGACTTTCCTATCTATAAAAAAATACAGAAAAATAACAAAATTCCATGTATCTCTCTCTCTCTCTCTCTCTCTCTCTCTCTCTCTCTCTCTCTCTCTCTCTCTCTCTCTCTCTCTCTCTCTCTCTTAAGTACTTCCATTTATATTTTTTATATTTTACTACTTTATATTTTTCCTAACCTCTAAATAATCCGGTTCGTACAAACTTCCGGTGTAAAATTTGGCCGATATAATCTTCCTTATAAGTGGACGTTGTCCGAGCACTGTGATCTAAAATAAATAAAATTTATTAGATACGTCAATTATAATAAAATAAATATAAAATTGAATTTAGGTTATTTTACTTATTGTGAAATATTGCGAAAATTATATAATTCGATCATGAAATGATATACCTGTTTGATCAAATTTAAAGCCATTTTCAGTGACGCTGATAAAGTGTCAGAAAACTTTTAATTCATAAATCTAATTGTTAGGTGTTGTCACGTTGATCTCTATAAATTTGCTCCAGTAGATCAGCTGATCGCAGAGATGACGTTACGATCCTGCGACGTGTCGCTTCATAGAAATCGGATGGTGTTAAATTAACCTAGCAATTGTTAAATTCTTACATGTAAAATTTATTATCATGATAAAAGCAATTATTTTATATTTTTCATTGATAACAAGTATTTCTATAAGATAATCCAATAGTATTATGAAAGTGATAATTGTATTAAATTACGCAGTATGCCGCGAAGGATCTCTCTGATATCTGCCACCTGTCAATGTTTCACTGAATAATATTCTGCAACAAATGTTAATAATTATATAATTTCCTAAGAAAATTATGGATATCGAAACAGAAAATGTAATAAATCTGGTATTTCCAGAAGGTATTCCAGGTAAGAAATAGTTTTGCTTCTTTTATATTAATATATTATTTAATGACACAATCTATGTATTTTATGCAATTATTATTTTGCAGAATCCTGGAAAGAGAATCCTGAATTTTATCAATATTTGTCAAAATTGGGTGGCTTTGATGTAGATCAACTGAGTAAGAATACTTTAGTACTCAATTTAGTTAGTTGAACTTTACATTATGCATTAATAATGTAGTCTAATTGTACACAAAAATTTTTTAGGTAAAGAGCCCGATCACTTGTCCGATGAGAAAAGTACAGTGCTTCAGACTACGCAGGAGTTGGTGTTTGCAAATTACAAAACTTTTATTCAGACAGCAGAAAGCTCAAGAGAAATACTCAATCATGTAATTTCGAGAAATATCGATTTTATAGATTGTGAATCTTTAAAATAATCTCTCTTATCAACAATCTGTATTGTTTTAGTTTAATGAAACTGAAAGCCGTCTTGACAAGCTTGTGCAAAAGATCCCCGAATTTGTGGAGAAGTGCCAGTCGTTCTGCGACACTTCAAAGGACATCAATGCGCATCGAAGATTAAATAGTTTAACGCTCACGCGAAATGCCGAACTGCTCGAAATACTTGAGATGCCCCAATTGATGGAATCATGTTTGAGAAGCAACCAGTATAACGAAGCATTGGAATTGTCTCAATACGCCCGTCAATTAGGAATGAAGCATGGAGACATTCCTATTATTTCGGTATAAGCTTAGCAAAGTTTTTCGGTATCCAAATTCTTGATTTTATTTATTTATCTTTTTTAAATATTTCAGTCTATAGTAGCGGAAATTGAAAGCAGCTGGTCGGGAATGGTAGGACAAGTAGTCGGATCTTTAAGGGGAGATTTGCCGCTTCCAAGATGTCTACAGCTTGTAGGTTTGCTACGTTCGATGGACGCATTTACGGAATCGGAACTTCGTATAAAGTTCCTTCAAGCGAGAGACAGCTGGTTGCAAAGCTTGCTGAATGCAATACCGAAAGAAGATCGTAAGAGCATTTAATTTCGACTACAATATATCAATTATAATAAAAAATACATTGATTTTATGCTTCCAGCTAATCTTCATATTAGCAAAACGGTAGAATTATCCAGGATACATTTGTTCAATATAATAACTCAGTACAAAGCTATGTTCAACGACGACGAATTGATAATCCCTGGTCGTGATTTGACGCTGAATGAATCGGCAATATTTTACCATTGGTTGGAGGAAAAGGTAATTTTGAAACGAACGTGTTATATCGATAGAAAAGTAATTAAAACCTTTTTTTTTCAGATATCGCAATTTCTCGCCACGTTAGAGCAAGATTTACCGGGTGTAACGTCTGTAGACTCCATCTTAGGCCAGTGTTCGTACTTCGGATTGTCATTTGGTCGAGTGGGTGTCGATTTCACTGGTCGAATGTCAGATATATTTGTACGAGTTATCGGTGAAAAGCTCGAACAGAACGTTCGTAGAACAACCAGAAAGTTCGAGAAGGATATGGAAACGTTTACGTTGATTAACAAAACGCAACGACTTGATATAAAAAGGGAGACTGCTATCAATTCTGTGAGTGTAGAATTGCATTTTTCTAAATCTATAATTTGTAATTACAATTGTCTCGTATACAGGAAAATCCACCTGAACAACTGGTGGAATTTTACCCTCTGGCCGAATACTGCAACGGAATAATAGGAGCATTCAACGAGTTGAGGCTCTGTGCGCCAGTGGCACTCTCCACTCTATGCACAAAACTACTGCAAGAATCGTTGCATAACGTGGCGAGAGCTATGCTGATATTCTACAAACAAGAACAGCAAGTGAGTTTTCATCCCGTAATTTTTACCCGCAAGTAAATTCCGTATTTTGCAAAAAATGCATGTTACAGGCTTTCGCAGCCGCGGAGCGGGAAAATATGGTGAAGTTCACGGAATGCTTGAGCGAGCAATTGATTCCCTATATTCAATACTGCATACACGCGATCTTTCCACCCGCCCAAATTGCGATGCATTTAGGAATATCAGTCAGCGTACTCCAAAAAGAGGTACGTCGACAGAAAATGTAGAAAAAATTGACAATATAAATAATAACAAATGATTTACAGGAACTCACATACTTGAATAAGCAGAGCATACTGGAACCAGTGGCTGTACTATTGCCAATTAAGAAAGATTCGTTAGTTTCCAAATTATGTGCGCCTAACGTACAGCCATTGTCGTCTCTTCCAACAGAAACTGTGGATTCTACCTCAAAAACTACTATACTCGAAACAGAAAGGCCGAAAGAGAAGGAAGTTGCTCAGCAAGGAGCGATACCGAAGCGTAATGTCCAAAATTCTCAGAATTTCGTCGATAATGTAAATCAAAATATCCAATTGTAAAGTTAGACGTATATTGCTTATTACTTTGTACCAAGGTAGTGTAAATAAAAATTTTTACAATCACGGAATATCTTTATTGTGTACAAATGCATTTGAAGAGAAGATAAAAATTCGATAGACACGCGAGAATGCAAGGTAATCGAATCTTAAAAGTAAACGCAAAGCAATTAGGCTTCCACGGATATTGAAAATACTTTAATCCTTCATAGACTCCTCCGTGACTCCTTGATTCGACTGTGCGGTATCATTGTCCTTCTTCTTTTTGCTGCCGGAGACGATGTCGTCGATTCTCAGCAGCAGAATCGCGGTCTCGATCGCCGTTTTGTACGTCTGTAACTTTACAGACAACGGTTCCCAGATACCGTATTCCTTCATATCGACCAATTTACCCGTTTCCCCATCAATGCCCCAAGTGGTTCCTCCTTCCGTTGCGTGCTTCGCGCGCAACGCTGTCAGAGTTCTGATAGTGTTTGCGCCACAATTCTGCGCCAGCGTTCTGGGAATAATCTCCAAGGCCTGTGCGATCGCCTTGTACGGCCACTGCTCTATACCGGCGAGACCCGCTGCCTTCTCCGTTAAGAGACGTGATACCGCCATTTCCACCGCTCCGCCACCTATTAAAAATAAGAGAATGCAATGAGACATGATAAGAATTTAGATAAAAGATAAAATATTAACAATTTTACGCACCTGGCACGAGTTTCGGGTCGATGAGAAGATTTCTGGCTACGTGCAACGCATCCTGCAGATTTCTCTCGGTCTCGTTCAAAATATCCTTGCTCGCTCCTCTCAGAATGATGGTGCAGGCTTTAGGATCCTTGCAATCCGTGATGAAGCAGAAGTAATCGTCGCCGAGCTTCTTGATCTCGAAGAGACCGGCGCCTGTACCGACGTCCTCCTCCTTCAACTCCTCGGTACGATTGACGACGGTGGCACCGCAGGCACGAGCGATTCTGTTGATGTCGCTCTTTCGTAACCTGCGTATCGCAGAGATGCCAGCCTTGACGAAGTAATGCTGCGCAAGATCGGATACACCCTTCTCCGTTATCACGACGTCCGGCTTCACCGCAATAACGTCCTCGCAGACCTTCTTCACGTGTTCTTCTTCCAATTCCAGTATCTTAGTGAAATCAGTGTCCTTCATTATCTCTATATTCGTCTGAGATTCGCCTTTCTTGTACTCCAATGGACAGTCCAGCAGCACTATTCTCGGATTCTTGATATAACGTTTCATTTTTGGATGTGTCACATCCTTGTTGATCATCACTCCCTTCAAGACAGTACTGTCCTCTATCGTGCCACCGGGTATCTTTTCCACCTTGGCATAACGTTTAATATCAATCTCCTTTCTGCCATTCTCCTCGAGCATCACGGTGTGAACAGCATCGAGTGCGATCTTGCATGCCAGCTCGGACCAGCGTCTAATGAATTTAGTGCCTATACAGGAGTTTATTACTTGGACCAATTTTTTTCTGTCATTGCAATCTAGATCGATGCTGATTTGCTCATTAAGAATTGTGACCATGTCTTCCAAAGCCTGACGGTATGCTCTTATGATGACAGTGGGATGCATGTTCTGTTCCAAGAATGGTTCAGCAGTGGCCAAGATTTCACCTGACAGGACTATGACTGATGTGGTGCCATCTCCTACCTCTTCATCCTGAGTTCTAGCAATCTCTATCATGGATTTTCCAGCAGGATGCTGTACGGTGATCTCACGTAGTATGGCATTTCCATCGTTTGTCATTACTATGCCACCCATAGGATCGAGCAGCATTTTCAGCATGGACTGCGGTCCGATGCATGTTCGAACAACATCAGCAATGGCCTTCACACAAAAATAATAAAAACCAAATGACATTCAAAATTTTAATTAATATTAAATAAAATTGCAATACTGTTATTTGTAAATTTTAAACATTAAGCTACAGAAAAAAATTGTTTTTGTTGTATTAATATTTTGCTTCAGATAAATTGCTAAATTTTACGAAATTGTATATTTAAAAATAATAAAGAATATATATATATATCTATTTTTTGAAACTGCATTTCTAATATTTTTCCTCCATGTTCATATCTTCTCTTTGTCTTTCCAATGATTAGTTATATATTTTATTTTGAACGCAAAAGATATTATGCTGCAAAGATGGATCTTAAATTGACTGGATTTATAACACGAATTTCCTCCAAAAGCCGCACGTGCGTGGGCGTGCCGGGAGTCGTGAAGAACGCCTTATAAGGCAAAATATTTTGTCGCGTGAATCGAATGCTCACCTTGCCCGCCTGGATATTCTCCTTCTGCACTTTCCTACCGGTGTCCCGCTTTGTGTTCTGGCCTGCAATAATTAGAACATTCGACATGGTTAGAAAGAGGATTCATACACGCGAGCTGCCAAATAACAAACGACACTCGCGGAAAATTGCTTTCAACTTACTCAGAACTACAATTGGTGCTGCACCCGACCCAAACATCATGCTTATATTTTTTCTCCGTTATTAAATGTAACAACAATTGGCGTTATGATTTTTCCAGAAAAAGATAACACTGATCGACTTGAGAATAAAAGCGTGTGAGGCACAGTAAGGTACAAAGCTATGAGCATAGAGAATACGATAGAAATGCGATTGGATTGTGAGTTTGCGAATACCATGTTGAGAACGCAATTGAAAATTTGCCCATAGTCACACTTGTGAATCAGCTTTACTGTCAATAATGCAGCGCTCTACAATAACAACCATGATTTAATATGCACGTAGTTCACTTACACGTTTCATTTGTTTTTATAGCAACACTTGAGAATTGAGTGCAACAGTGTGGTATGAGATAATAATGTACAATAATAGGAAGCGATATGCGTTACATTTTTAATTAATCAACTTCATCATGATGGAGAATACGAGTGACAAGTTTTACTACGTGTACAGTTCTTCGTTAGATACCAGGATACAAATTAAAATGTGAGTTTTATGCATTTTGCGTCACTGCTTAGGTTACCGCGCGATAAAAGCTTCTTCATATCCTTCTTAAGTGACACAAATACATACATTAATTACACAAGCGTGAAATAATCGGATTAAAGTAATTAACGTGACAGTGTATGTGTTGGACCATCTGGTCTTTATCTTTAGCTGCATATGCAATTGGCAAACTTCAGATGACACATTCCCGCAAGTTAAACCGTCTCCACTCGACATGTCATTGATCTATTCTTTTGCAGAGGTACATTAGAAGGCAAAAGGCATAGACCCGAGTACGACGAATTACTTCTAGATCCTCTACTCAAGTATTCAGGTTTGTACGAAACTGGAGGAGTTCGTGGAGATTTAGCTGCATCTCTGCAAGTGTGGGCTGGTGGGAGACCATTGGCTTTACCTGTACACACAGCCTACAAGCACTTCACCTCTCGTTGGAAGTATGTTGAATATTACGTTCTGTTTGTAATCTTATGTGAAATTTATTGTTATCACTTTATCTTATCAACTCTCTTATCAACTCTTATCAAATCTCTTATCAACTCATTACTGGATTTTTATGATACAGCTGGAATCAATGGGTCTATCTACCCATTTCCTATACAGATTTGCCTCGTGATGCACAGCTGTGCATAACTCTTTATGACTGCGCGGGACCTGGCAGACAGCTTCCAGTTGGCGGTACAACTATATCGCTGTTTGGAAAGCATGGAGTGTATCGACAGGGTATGCTGGATCTAAAAGTGTGGCCAGGAGTAAAAGCAGATGGTAGTGTTCCAACCAGTACCCCAGGAAAAGCTAGAGATCACGGGAAAGAACAAATGCAGAGGCTTGCAAAACTTGTTAAAAAGCACAGAAATGGGCAAATAAACAAAATTGATTGGCTGGACAGATTAACTTTCAGGGAGATTGAAGTAATCAATGAGAAGGAGAAGAGAGCATCGGAGTACTTGTATTTGATGATAGAATTTCCAGAAGTAACAATGGATAGTGTACCAGTATGTAGCATTTGAATTACAATTTTTCATGCAGATATAACAGAATGGTGTTTAATACACTTTTATCTCTTTACAGTATTCAATCGTGTACTATGAAAAAGATGGTGACGAGGTTTTCCAGCATAGATTACAACCAGATGTTGTGACACTTCCTGACTACGAGATTTTACAAGTATATAAATGTTACAAAATTAAATATACACAATAATGTGTAGTTTTTAGAAGATAAAAATATTTAATTTTTTTCTAGGAGAACCTTGTAGAGGCGAAACATCATAAATTGGCTCGTAGTTTACGTAGCGGCGGTAACACCCGCGAATTAAAACCCACTTCAACGGTGCGAGACGCTTTAAATACAATATTGGGGTATCCACCGACAACCGCACTTTCCACCGAGGAACAAGATTTGATTTGGAAATATAGATTTTACTTGTCTAACCAGAAGAAAGCGTTGACCAAATTTGTGAAGTGCGTTAATTGGAAAGTCGCCGGCGAGGAACGCCAAGCCTTGGAGATGCTAGCTTTATGGGCGCCACCGGATTCTGAAGACGCCTTAGAGTTATTAGGTCCGGCGTTTACTCATCCGGCTATCAGACGATACGCGATTAGCAGACTCAATCAAGCACCCGACGACGATCTAATGTTATACTTGTTGCAATTAGTGCAAGCCTTGAAGTATGAAGACTTTGAAAGCATTAAAGCTGCTTATCAAGCAATGCTAAAAGAAAAGGAAGAAAGATCAGAGCCAAAAAATTGGAGTACCGAAAAGTTAGAAAAGAGCGAAAGATTGGAAAAAACGGATAAATTGGATAAAGATATAAGAAGCAGCGATTCTACATCTACTCCGGTTACAACTGTAAGTTAAACATAATATTTCTCTAAATGAAATATATTTTACCTTCATCTTCTACATGTAATTGTGTTCACTTGCAGTCTAGTGAATCGGAGAGTCAATTATCAACTAGTCAAGAACCGCTGATGGATCTAGCGTCGTTTTTAATTACACGCGCTTGTCAAAATTCGATGCTGGCTAATTATTTCTATTGGTATCTCTCTATCGAATGCGAGGATCAAAGTGATCCTGCGATAAGCGCCAAACAAGATACACGAGTCAAAGAAATGTACGTCACCGTAATGAAAATGTTTTCCATGATGTTAACGCAAGGAAATGCCGTCTGGCAAAAGAGAAGAGCGTTCCTCTTGCGACAGAAGGTGTTCATCGATCAGTTGGTGTCTCTGGTGAAAGCGGTCGCGCGAGAAAGCGGAAATCGGAAGAAAAAGACTGATAGATTGAGAACATTATTGACGGATCCGGATCCGGCGTTCAAGATTAATTTCTCGAACTTCGAGCCGATACCTTTCCCATTGGATCCTGAGATTTGCATCAAGGGAATTATTCCAGAAAAGTACGCACACATTCAAACAGTGTTCAATCATCGGTATTTATATATCTTGATACTTTATTAATTTTATTAATTTCATAGAGCAAGTCTCTTCAAGTCTGCGCTCATGCCATCAAAACTTACGTTCTTGACAACGGACAATACCGAATATATCGCTATCTTTAAGCATGGAGACGATTTACGACAAGATCAATTAATTTTGCAAACAATAGCACTGATGGATAAATTATTGCGGAGAGAGAATTTGGATTTGAAACTGACTCCGTATAGGTAAAAACACTTTATGCGAAGCACAATCCATATTATTATGTTAATTCGTTTAACTTGCGATTCAATCAATCAATCAATTTCAGAGTACTTGCCACGAGCACTAAACATGGTTTTGTACAATTTATCGAATCCACAACGGTCGCGGAGGTTCTAGCCAGCGAAGGATCGATATTGAACTTCTTTCGAAAACATCATCCTTCCGAGACTGGACCATACGGAGTCGTACCAGAAGTCATGGACACTTACGTTCGTAGTTGCGGTGAGCACGAATGATACAACTATATATGAAATAAATAAGTTACATTATTTAAACATTATTTTAAAATTACAGCTGGTTATTGTATTATTACATATGTACTGGGCGTCGGTGATCGCCACTTGGACAATTTGCTTCTGACAGCATCAGGTATGTTCTTCAATCAGAAAGCATGCAAAATGAATACACTGAATGTATGCAATATTCGTTTTTTTTTTACAGGAAAACTCTTTCACATCGACTTTGGCTATATTTTGGGCAGAGACCCGAAACCTCTGCCGCCTCCCATGAAGCTCAGCAAAGAGATGGTCGAAGCTATGGGCGGTGTCGGTTCCGAGCATTATCACGAATTTCGAAAGCAGTGTTACACGGCGTTCCTCCATTTGCGTAGACATGCCAATTTAATATTAAATCTATTCTCCCTGATGGTGGACGCCAGTGTGCCGGATATCGCTCTGGAGCCGGACAAAGCCGTGAAGAAGGTCCAAGATAAATTACGGTTGGACTTGACTGACGAAGAAGCTGTACACTATGTACATAATCTTTTAGACTTATCAGTCACTGCAGTGATGGCTGTATTGGTAGAACAGCTTCATAAATTTGCACAATATTGGAGAAAATAAGACAAAACCGATGTACAGCGAGATTATGTAAAAACTGTGTTCCTTTATAAACGCTAATTATTATATTGTATATAAAACGACCATTATGTCTATAATATATCGATTAATTTATTGTATTTTCAGAGTATTTTAGCTAATAAATCTTTGATAAAAATTATTTTTTTGCGTGATATTTTTTCAACTGATCTTGATTTAATATATTTGTAGGAAAAATAATTTTTATATTCCAATGCAACAATTACTATATATAAATCTATACTCAAATAATTTACAAAAACGTATCAAAAATAGCTTATGAAAATTTTTACAAGCAAAAGTATTTTTTGTACTTGAGATATTGAATTAAGGATATCAATGGCAAAGAGACAGAAGATATATTTATTGTACATATAATAGTTATGTAAATATTTGTATATTTATTTTATTCTTAATTACAATCATATATGCATATATGATAGTGCACACAATAGAAATAAATGTAAATAGAACTATATAATACAATAATATTGTTAGTGCTGAAAATATCAAATTATTATCATGAAACGCAGAATAGATATATTTTATTCTTCAATACCATTTCGATCAACATTTTTTATCGTATTAATGAAATTAACAAAGCAAAATAGATATACTTTATCTTACGACTGTACCAGATTTTTTTTTCTTTTAATAGAAAATGTAACTATATTTTATCATCTCATATATATTTATATGCTATATGTACGTGAATTTAATGTATTTGTAGAATTATGTGTATATATATATGTGTGTATCTAAAGAATTCAGAATAATTACAGAACATTAATCATTCAGTCCATTCTTGAAAATTTTTCAGGCTCTTTGTACACTCTATAATCGAGTTTATCAGTACTGTTTAATGCGACAATATGACAGTTCACAAATTTCTTTCATCCTCTGGTGTCAATATAATATGTACACATGTGGCATAATTAAATACGCCACAAGAAATAAAAAGATTATTTTTATTCTTGGTGTAACATGAGATTATAAAGAATATAATTTTTGTATCCTCTCTGATAAATCTGTCTTGCTTGAGGATTGCACAATAAAAAAAAAGAATACCATTTACAACTGCTTTACAATTGCCACTTTTTCACGCATTTCATCACTTATATATATTGTTCAGTGAGTCAATCTCTAATATAACCAACAGTTCTCTTGCTTAAAAGTTAAATGATAAATGTCTGTCTAAGCATATCTCAAACACGACAGATTTTCTAACAAAATCTCTCGCATCTTTTACATCAATGGCCTTATTAATACACAAAATACACAACACATAAGTGAAATAAGCATTTTTATTTTCCATATATATATATTATATATATATATATATATATTGTATATAAACTTCTGACCCTACAAATTAAATCATAAAACTAATAAAGAATCCTCGTTTCGCTCAGTCTCGCACTTTTGTAGCGATAGCAAAGAATCCTCCGTTATGGAGAATCATTACACTGTGAGCAAAGCGAGGCATGGCGCAAGTTATTCGCGAAAATTAAGTCTTTGATAATCAAAAAAGCTTTAATTTTTCGCGTTTTCATTGCAGGGTATACATAGGATATATAATAGGAAATATTGTGCTCTTTGCTTTAGGACCGTAGCAAACTGAGCGGTTGTCAGAAGTGCAGATTACAAAATAAGCAGGAGGACAAACAAGCGAGAATATTACCGGTTAGACGTTAAAGACCAAAGTCAAGTTGGGTAAATCAGGTTACCCAATTAAATAAACCTAGAGGTAAATCATTAGTTTTGCTACGGTTGTTTTATTTCATACAATCACATGAGCTCTTACCTCTTAGAATTATTATAAATGAACAATTGTTTACACTATGATTCGACATTATGGAGTAGCAGTGAAATTCTGGCATATCGATTATGACTTTTATTTCTTTCTTTTTGCGATCACACGTATATCTGATCATTGATTATTCGAATATATTTCAAACATGTTGATATAAAAAGAAGAAAAGAATCTTTATCGCATGAGCGTTATTGCAATTTTCACCACTGCTCCATTTCCATAGACATAGAAATCTTGACAAAAATCGGAAACTGCATATCTGATTTTATAATTATGTTCATAAAGAAAAAAAGAATAATAATATATTTCTCATATATAAATTGATACTTTATTATAACGATTGTATGGACACTTCTTTTTCTTCTTCATATCAAACGACGGCTAAAATCAGAGACTGTAACAATGTTAATGCGAAGAGAAATCATAATTTCATTGTCCCGTAATATAATGTTCCATCCATTTTAATTGTTACGTACTGGATCCTAAGAACGGATTACTCGCATTTTTTCCTTGTTTCAATATGCACAAACGCACGCGCGCGCGTATGCGAATGCATTTGTTTGTACGTAAGGGGCCTAACAATAAAACCTACCGCTAAATTTCACCTTAAAATCTAAGCGCTTACTTAACATTACAATTACCTTAAGACAATATATTTACATTTGAAAATAGACTCGAGGGTTTGTATGTTGACTGTTGCCTAGGCAGCACCGATAGCCTATTTCGCATGGGGACTCATATCGTTACCACCGCCCCCCACAGTGTATTACCTGTCCATAGGCCTGGTGGCTGGTACCGAGCTCTCCACGAGGTCGTGCCTCTCGATCGGCGAGTTCTCCAGCGTATAGTCCACCGGGTATCCCTCGGGATAGGTCGGCGTGGCCTCACCCTGCTGCCTCAGTCTCAGTTCGCTCGGTCTCTCCTGGTAGAAGCTCTGCGACGCCTCGATGTTCGGCGACGTGGACGACTGCTCGGTCTTGCCGTCCAGATCGTCCGTCGAGTAATAGCTCTGGCTCGCCTCGCTCTCGGGCCTATTGGGGTCGTAATAGCCGCCAGGCGAGATGCCGTGGCTGGTGTAGTTGGGCGTTTCCTCGGCCGGCGCGAAATAACTCTGACTCACCTCCTGCGGATTGCCCTCGTAATAGTCGCCCGGCGTAACGTGCTCCTCGTGCGGGTCCTCCTCCAGCCGGGAGTTTGCATCCTGATCCACGGATTCGTAGTAACTCGCTGTCACCTCTTGGTGATGAGCGTAGTAGCTGGTTGGCTCGTTCCGATGATGATCGGTGCTCTCTGTGACAAAGTTTTGCGAGCAGGTCTCTTCTAGGCCGGGCATCGAAATCGGCACCTCATACGACGTCGACACGTTCTGCTCGACTATCACTTGGTCTTCGTAACTTGAGGACGGCACGGAGTCGACGTGATGAGTCGACGTAATATCGGGATTTAGATTGTACGATGAGGAGGTTGGAATATCCGGCACACCATTATCGTGAATACTGGCGTGCTCCGCGCTGACCGATGTGTCTGGTATTACGCTGGAGGAAGCGATGTTGAGCTCCTCGCACGGCGGTATCTCATACGATGACGTACTTATCGCACTCTCCTGATCCTGATCACGCTCCTGATTCTCAGGTGTTTCTGGCACGTAAGACGAGCTCGCCGTCTCGTCTTCGTTCATTCCCGAATTGTTCGTCGATACAGACGACGTGCCGATACCGTCGGCGCCAATGTCGTTGGATTGCGACGGTATGTTGCCTTCCTGACTGATCTCAGCGTCCGTTTCTAGATTCTCCGCCATGCTCTCGCCTTTATCGACTTCGTAACTTTGCGTGGGAAAGCTTTGATCATCGATCGCCTCGTCGGCACTCGGCCGCTCCACCTGACCCTGCACAATCTCGGTGAAAGATTGCGTCGGTGCGTTTACGTTGGCCTCCGCCGAGGTTTCGTACGACTGCGACGCTTCGTTGAGTTTTGAATGCTCAAAGGACTGAGTCGGCGGTTCCGCCACGACGGCCTCCTCGTCCGCTTCCATCGGCTCGTACGCGATAGACTGTGTAGCCTCGCCCGACGAGCTCTCCAGTTTGCTGGCGGATTGACTAGGTAAATCCGCGGAATCATTGCTAATAGCTACATTGAACTGCTCGTACTGAGACTGCGACGGCGTCTCTTGACTAGCTTCCGCGTTCGCGGTCTCATCTTCCTCATTGAAATGCAGTTCCATGCTCCGGCGCAGACGACGCCTGTCCGATTCCTCCTGCGACGACGGCTCGTCTCTTTGACAATCCTTCGCGTCTTGCTTGCCGGTCGTGCTACCGGCGTATAATTCCGATTCTCCTGCTTCGTCCACCTCCATGGCCGTGTCACTAGAGGGATTTAACGATTCAGCTGGTAAAACGGCTTGCGAAGCCGTTTGAATCTCCGCCTGGCTCGATGTACCTGCTACCTGCTCATCCGTCAAGCTAGTTTTACTGCTAGACCCTTCGGAAAACGTTAGTTGCTTCAATTTATCCACCGTGTCCGCCTCGTGCAATTCGGCGCTTTTAAGCTTGCTCGAGTCGATCACGTCAAAGCTCACCTGTTCTATGGAATCTAGCCTAGAATTCGATTCCGATGTAACCAAGGTGGTCTCGTCGATAATCGGTAAGCCAGTCATCGGCGCGTCGTCCTTTTTGTCGTCGCCTTTCGTCTCCATCGTGCTCGAGGCGGTAACTTCCTTGGCCGGTTGCTGCGGGATCGATTCCTCGGACGTAACAGGAACTTCCTGAGACGAGTACGCTTCCTGCATCGTCGCGTCCTGCTGCTCGTCCAAGCTCTTGGATTCATTGGTCGACGTAATCGGTTTCTGCGAGGAAGCCGAGACTTGGTGCGAGGGAACGACCGTTTCCGATGTAACAGTGATATCCTGCGGCTTTGCACTTTCCCCGGGAATTGTCGACGCTTTGGACACTAGCATCTCCGACACCGGCACGTCGACGAACGTCTGCTCGGCGACGATCGTCGTGGCGAACTGTGAATTCTCAGCGTACGAATCGTCAATGATCGGCATCGACGGAGTGGTTTGCACCTGCGGGCTCTCCAGGACTATGTTATTCGGCATAGCGACTGTGTACGAGGCCGACGGTGTGATCGCAATCTCCGCACTTTGCACAGTTTGCGTCTCCGCGGCCGCAATGTTGTCCTCGAGATTCGGTATCATCAAGTATTGAGTGCTCACGGGAATCTCCGCACGATTGCTCGTCGCCGTCGACGAACTTTCTATGATCTCGCCGATGTCCGGCATAGAGTTACCCGGAATCTGAATTTGCGTCTCGCCCGTAGCGATGTAGGAGATGCTGGGATTCGTGATTGTGATTGGTAGCTCAAGGGAGGATGGTATAGTGGAGACTACCGACGTGGGAGTCGAGTTCGTCGACTGAATCGGCAGGCTGCTCGGCACCTCGAGCGGCGTCATGATCGGCTGATTCAGGGTCAATGAGGTTTCCAGAACCGACGGCGACGATATCGGTTCCGTGGGCGGTATAATGGTCGACTGCAGAATGGTCTGATTGATGAGACTCGTCTGCGTCAGACCGGCCTGAGTCATGACGTTGTCCGTTTGATTCTCCGGCAAATTGATCTCCTGCTGGAAGTCCGTGTTCGCGAGGGCAGCTGCCAGTATGTCCTGATTAGATGTCTGTATCACCCCCGAGGCGGGGAAGCTCTCGGTTATGATCGTCGTCTGACTAGCCTCCGTTACATTCGTCTGCATGTTCGGCAGGATACCGTTGTCGAATTGGAGAACGATGTTATCCAGAGCACCGGAAGAATCTCCTAGAGAACTCGGGTCTATGTACAAGGTCCTCGTACCATCCGGATTCTGCGTGGTTCCTTCCAGCGACATTAGAGCGTTGTTATCGAGCGGCTGTATCTGCCCCTGCTCGTCGATTGTCACCAGCACGTAGGTTTGCGTGCCGTCGCTGCTTTCCGTCGGCAGAGCCATAATCTGCGGCTGCGCGGTCACTTCGGCTCCTCCGTCTTGTTCGCGTCGTCTCTTTTCAGCTTGGTGTTTCTCAGCTTTACCGTGCTCCTTCTGAGCGGCATCCGCAAATTGAACATCCGTCTTCGCCCTCTTCTCCGCGTCGATCGGCTCCAATGGAGGTAAAGCGATGGTCGTGGCGATATTCGCGCTCGTCGTGGCAGTGCTTATCGAGTTCAGAGCGACGTTCACGAGACTCTTCTGCGCCTTGCCGTGAGACTTTGCGGATCTCGGAGTTGTCTGTTTCTTCGTGACGACGGGCGCGGTGCCGGTCGCGACGATCGTCTGCTTCCCGTGAATGTTCTGCGCCGTCGACGCAGCCACTTCCTTTTGGAGGATGATCTTCTGCTGAGTCTTCGTCTGGCGACCGCTGCTTCTAGGAATAATAACCTTCTGCACGGACGTTTTACCTTTTGATTGAACCTGCTGCACCATCGTCACCGTCTGTTGTGTGCCGCTCGGCGAAGCAATGTTTTGAATGGCGGTGCCTGGTTGCATCACGGTTTGCTTGATAATCTTTTTGCCATGCGATGAGACCTTTTGAGCCGGCGTTGTGACGGCAGCGTTCTGCAGGATCAATGTGCCGCTGGGTACTTTTGCAGACGTCCTCGCCTGCGAAGTCGCGGCCGATATCGGTATTTTCGCTGACTTTTGCAGTATCGGCAGCTGCATCGTCTGCTGTACCGGTTGATATTGCACTTTGCCGCCTTTGGTCGGACTTTTGGCGGCGATAGCTTTCACCTGTTGTCCTGTTATCGGGGTCAAGATAGTACCTTTGCTACTGACGATGGCTTGCGTGCCCAGTATGGTCTTACCGCCGATAGTTTGAGACACCGGCGTTAAGATCGTTTTGGTGCCTAGATTTTGAGCTTGGGGAGACAAGAGCGTCGTCCCACCTTTCGTGACCAAAGTCTTCGAGCCGATGATGGTCTTTCCGCTCAAAGCCGAGGCGCTGATCGGAGTGTAGATGCCACCCTTTGTGAGTATTCCCTGAGACAGTGTGCCCAACAACGCTGTTTTAGTAATAGTACCTGAAATTGGAGTAAGCACACCTTTAGACGTAATTATGCCTTGCGTGTTGATGATCTTGTGACCACTAGTGGTTAGTTTGGATGTGGTTGGTGAGCCAGCAGCGGCGGCGACCGCGGCGGCAGCCGAGACATCAGCCTTCGGCGCGATGATCTTCGAGGTAATCAGATTACCCTGCGGAGTGATCGGGCAAAGCAGCTGGCCTTTGCTCGTCACGATCTTCTGCATTTTACCGCTCAGAGTCTTCGAGATGTTCAACGGCACCATCTTGGTCTGACAGGTCTGCCCTGACGTTAGTATGACGACTTTGCCGCCTTGCTGAATCACTTGTGCGTTGCCCGCCGTCTTGCCGGTGGTCGGAATAGCGATCTTCTGCGGAGTGCCGGGCTTCCCCTGGACGCTGTAACGCAGCTGCTGACCGCCCGCTGTTTGCACGACGACGTACTTGCCCGGCGTGACGCCTTTCTGCGCCAAGAGAGTCGACGTCTTACCGGCCGGCTGAGCGCTCTGAAATTTCAAGCCCTTCACGCCGCCGGTGAGCGGCGGCACCAGTGTTTTCACGCTCGTGATAGTCGGTTTCGCTTTGCCCTTGTTCTTCAATATCGCCGGTACGCCGCTCTTCTTTTTCGTCGGCGATGTCTCGGCGGTTTCATTCGTGACTTTGAATTGAGTGTGAGTGGACGATACTATCTGCGTGGTCGGAGTGAACGTGAGCGTGGCAGGAATCGAGCTGGACGCCGGTATAATAGACGAAATGACAACTGGCATCTGCTCGATACCCTCCGGCGTCAGCACGTCCTCGCTGAGAACAAATGGCATCGAGTTGATGTCCAATTCCATATCCGCGAGACTCTGGGAACTCTGTTGTATGTATTTCTCCGTCACTGGCGCGGCCACGATAGTCTGCGTCGCGCCTTGGTCCTTGTTCTGTGCCTCTAGAAGCGCGTCCGTCTCCTCTGTCTTTAGAACTTGAAGCTTTTTAGTCAGAGTCATAGCCGGACTGGACTTGACAACAGTCTTCACCTTGCTGTTCGAAGACAGAGGTTCTATCTTCATTATCTTTGTCTTCGGGCTGCCCTTCTGCTCACTCTTCTTCGCAACGTCTGCTTCTAGCTTGTGCTTCACACCTTTCTGCGGCACTTTGTCGAGTAGTTTCGTCTTCAGGATTTGTACCGGTTCGGTTAACGCGACATTTTCTATTATTCGCGGCATTTCGCGCTTTTTCACCGGCACGCTGCTATCGGATGTTAGAAAAGTTGCAGGCACGGATGTCTTCGAGGTTTCATCCAACTTTTTATCATCGGAGGTACTCTTAGAGCTATCTTCAACAAGTGTCTCTGACTGAGACGACGCTTTGGCTGTGATAACAAATTCGCTGGGTGATGATTCAAATTGACCATCACCTTCGAAGACTGTATCTCCAATTTTAGGATCGATTTCCACCTTCTCTTCGACAACTATCTCGATATTTTCAAAGTTACTCACGACTGGTAAATCCGATATATTTTTTCCAGCTTGGATATCTTGAGGTAACTCCAAATCTTGGCTTAATTCATTGATTTTTATACCTTGCGTAGATGTGGCAGCAACATTCACTTTGACTTCTTCCGATTTCTTCTTCGCGGTCTTCTTTTCTCTTTTTGACTTAGGCGACGTTGCTGCATTCTCAATCATAAGCTTCTTCTTGTCCATCTGTAAAGTCTTTAGGAAAGCCTCTTGATATGTATTAGACGGCTTCTCCTCTGAAAACAAATCTTTGTCTTTTCTTCCCTTACCCGTCTCCGGTGTGAATTTACCTTTGTATCTCGTTTGCATGGCGGACTTTTTCGGCGTTGATTGCTCGTTCGTTGTTTTCGTTGGACTTTTCGGCGTGATCTTTGCATCAGCTGCTTTAGGTGTTGCGGGCGATTTTTTAGGCGATTTTAATTCAACCTGATTAACATTCTGCGTCTTTTGCAATGCTTCCTCGACCGATTGCGTCTCTTGGTCTTTTTCATTTGATTTCTCTGATTTTTCCTGCAATTCAGAACTCGTCAACTTTACTTGCGTTTTATTCTCGGCATCTAGAAATTTTGAAATATCGTCCGTCTTGCTTACTGTCGCTTTTACTTCTGTTTCATTCTCTTTACTTAATTTTCCTTCAGTATTATTTTGAGACTCAGGTTCAGCTTTGAATTCAGAATTAATTTCAGATTCGGATTCAATCTCCGCGGTTTTATTAGCCGGTGTATCTGTGTCAAAAAAATCTATTTGCGACAATTCAAATTTTTTTATTTGAGACTTTTTTGGTGGCAACTTGTCCACGCTCGTCTTCGGGGCATCTCGCTCTTCAACTTTATCGATGGCATCCTCAAGTTGCTCTACAACTGGCAGCTTTTCCTTATCTTTAAAATTCTCCTCAGTATTTTTACTTTGCTTTAAATCTTCCTTCTCTTTCGATAGCTTCTTTACAGTTTTATCTAAATTAAGTTCTGATTTCTCCGTTTTATTTGTAGTTTCTAGCATCGTCGTTTTTACATTTTCCGAACTTACGTCCATGTCAACTTTTGCAGTGGTTTCGTCCAAAGGTTTTATCGCTTCTTTGAGTACATTACCTTTCTCTTCTTCAGATTTCTTCTCTTCTTTCTTGGAAAATATATCTTTTTCTGCAACGTTATTCTCCGGTGCTTCGTGCTTCGTCTCGATCGCTGAGACATTGATGTTGTTTTCGGCAATAGTCTCGGACACTTCTATCTCCTGCTTATCCATATGAGCGATGAATTCGCTACTCTTGCTGTCGATGCGTTTCGAACGTCTGCCTCTTCTGGATTTAGTCGGGATTTTCTCAGCTTTACTCTCACTCTCAGATTGACTCTCGTCTGTCCTGAACGCTTTGTAGTCGGCATCTTGAACGTATATATCGGATTCCAAATATTTCTTATTCGGTTTACGTCTTCTGCCGCTGTACGATCGATCCGTGTCAGAATCCGATGTCTTTCTCTCGATCTCGAGCCTCTCGCTCACGCGAAATCTCTTGTTGCCTCTACTGGCCTTCACTTTCGGACTTTTGTCCGGACTAGCACCTTTATTAACCGATCTTGCGTTCTTGCGCGGTCGTCCTCTTCCTCTTTTTATTATTGTCTGATTTTCCGGGAGCTTATCCTTAGCGCTTTGATTCCGGTCCAACATGTCGTTGTCCGAGATTTCAGGCTCTGCCGATTCGGAAACGGTCTCATCCGTTTCCGTCGTACATCGTTCCGACAAAGTGTCGTCCGCTTCTTTCGTAGACACACTGTCATTTAATTCCGCAATCACGTCCTCCAAATCAGTTTTTTTGGGCTGAAATAATTTATCATCGTTAGATTTAACATTTGCAGATGTTTCGTTCTCCTTAGATGTATCGGCGTTTTTTACTGACGCATCAGATACGACATCCTTACATACCTTCTTCGTGGTTTTATTAGTAAGTTCATTATCATTATCTTCTCTCTCAACTTCAAATATTTCTACAATTTCGAGTTCTGTTTCAGAGGCATTGATATTAGATTTTGGTTTTTCATCCAATCGCGTACTCTTCTTTTCTTTTTTATCTTCAGGTTGTTTCGCTTCCGCTTTATCACGTATACTCTCCGGCTTTTCATTCGCTTTATTTTCCTTCTTCTCTTGTCGATTGTCGCTACCTTGTATTATTTCCATTATTTCGTCAGCTTTTAATTCCATGTTTTTAGACATCTTGTCAGCTTCTCTCTTGATTTCATTTTTCAGAGCTTGACTCATTTCGAATTCCTTGATAATCTCCTTTTTCAGCGACAAACTTTTCTCGCCGAACACTCTAGGAATTTTTCGAACAGGCGGTATAGAGGGTTCGCTCAAATCGTCCTCGTCAAAATCAAAGCATGCCAACCGTGATTTCTTATCATCTTTGTCGGAGACATTTCTGCTCTCACCGTCAGAACTTGAAGTGTCTTTCTTTGGTGATTTATTGAATATTTCCTTAGATGCACCGCTAGTTTTAGCGTTCTTTTCAGAATTTTCAGATTCTGTGGTTTTATTGAAACTACTCAATCGAATATTCTTTGAAGTGTGCAAGTTATCCAGCGAATCTCGTATCATCTGTATAGATGATAATTCTTCAGTTTCCTTTAGCAATTTCTCTGTTTCTGTTAAAATTTCATGATTCTCCGTAGTTTCGGCATCCTCCTCGTTTTCTTTGCTATCGTCAATGCTTGACTGATTTTTTATAGGCGAGCTCTTTAAAGAATTATTTAAAGAATTATTTACACTCATTTCTTCGTCAGATTCATCGTCCCAGTCAGCTAATAACTTTTCGCGCAATTCCGGGTCGGTCTTCTTTTTCTTACTAGATTTCTCATTCAGCTTCAGCTTTCGTTTATTTGATTCTAGTCCACTCTCGCTTTTCTTTTTACTCGATTGACTCTTATCTTTCCTTATATATTTTCGTTTCGGTGTGCTTGTATCAGAACTTCTACTGCGTGGCTGAGAATACGTTTTTACTTTTGATTGTGGCGTCAGAGAACCGCCAGACCGGTGACTTTTTATGTGGCAAATAATCACGTTAACACGCCCAGAAGTGAAATTACAAAGATGACAGCGATATACCGGAGAACCTGAGCTAGTCGGAGTCGTCGGTAAGCTGCTGGGCTGCTGGCGAATGCGAACTTCATGGTCACTCTCTGCGCGCAAAAAGCGCGGGTGTGTAATTTTTCTCATGATTTCTGTGCTATCGCTTCGTCTGTGTCCATCCTCGCGATCACGCTTCTTCTTTGGAATCTTTTTCTCGCCAAACAAAGCAGAGATATCTGGTTTCTCTGCGGGAGAGAATTTCTCCTGGTTTAATATATCAGGATTACCATTTGTTAACTTTTCCGCCATTTCCACGTCGCCTGGAAACTTGTCCATATAATTGGAACCATCCTTGCTTTTGACCCTGTATTTATCTATCGAAAATTAAACGAGATTTAATTTATAAAGATAGATTGTCGAGAAAAATAATTTATTTTAGAAATTAATCAATATTTAATAGCAAATTTAATTGGATATAGTAGTATATCAAAATATCCTACATTAATGTAAAAATATATGCATAATATATAAACTAATTGGATCTGTGAGAATAATTTTAACATATTCAATGTAGTTTATCATTTTACTAGCATTATTTCTAGTATAATATACATTCAGCATGCAAAGTTTATATTAAATGGTTTAATATTATATATTACATTTTTATAATTAGATAGATTAAAATATACAAAGAGTTTTAATCACTAATGTGTATTGATATATCCAATTAAATTCATTATAAAAAAAATTTATTAAACTCACCTAATCCTTTTTTGATAAATTCGTCTTTAAGCGTACAATTATACTTGTAGATTTGCTGATAATTTTTCACAAATTCACTAAAAGAAAAAGTATTTTAATAATTGCTTTAATAATTAATTTCATATATCATGATTATGTAATATATATAAATTTCTTTAACTTACTAGGTATCTTCCTGAAAAAATTTTACAGCAGCTATTATCGGCTTTTTCTTAAATTCAGTTTGAATATCCTCAGGCAAATTCTCCAATCCAGTAACTTGACCGGGCCACCAGCATGCGCCCAGTTTAACCCACACAACATCTCCATCCAGATAGTTGATTTCCGTTTGCTCACACATCTTTGCGCAGTATTTGATCCAATTTTTTCATAAAGTCAACATTGATGAATATTAAGATGTTGATCTTAAATCTACTTTTACAGAAATATTGACAGTTATGGCCCAGAGTTGATAAGCTACACAAATAAATTTCCATAGTTATATTATGATCTTAAGATATGATTAAAATATCTTACATAACTCTTATAGAAAAATGAATACCTTTACAATTATATACAAATGCTGTAGCAAACAAATGCGAAATTATAGCAGCTGATGTTTTAATAACACATAAATCCTGCTATAGTAATGTTCTCCTATGTTCTCTTCATAGTTATTTACCATTCTCTAGGCACAAGAATCAAGAATATTATACACATAGGTATCATCCATGAATCAGCACATAAATTCAATATACACTTACAATCATTAGAATTGTTACTGCATATGCATCAAAACATTCTTTTACATCTGTATAACACACTGCAACTATCCATTAAGCAAATCCTGTTCCAAAATCCCAAGCATAGTACTTCACAATCATAAGAACAACATCACTTCAGAGTTTAGTTTATACGTTTTTAACAATGTAACCGACAGCATAAATGTTCCACAATGTGTTCGCGGGAAACCAGGAATGCACTTGGCTGTGTGATCTAGCTGCCTCGGTGCTGACGTTGCTGGTGATAGCTACGTCGGGCATCTTAGCCCGCGGGTCTCGTGACAAGCGGTCCGCCTTCACTGTCGTCGTTCCAATGCGTGGTATTCTGAAGCTATTCCGGGCAACCCGGCTGACCACGTTCGTACATACGCGTATGTATACAGTAGACCGAGGAATCAGCGAGCGTCGTCCCAGGAACGCAAACGGCAGAAGGCGCGAGCGCGAGCGCGCGCGCGCGCACTCTCTCTTCCTGTCTTTATCGCTCTTTTTATTTCCCTCTCTCTTGCTCTCACTCACTCGCTCGCTCCTTCTCGCGACACCTCGGTCCGTTTCTCGCCCGCCTCAGAGCGCACCACCAGGAGGCCGCCAGGAATGCCTCAATGCGTGATTTTACGCGCATGCAACCACAAAGATAAAAAGCCTGAGCTGCGCCGAGCTAGGCTGAACTTGGCAACGTAACGTTTCGTACGAGCTCTACGTCGCTCGCGCAACACGACGCACGACCATATTCGGTTTACCCGACTTGCAACGGGGTCCCGCACGGTGGATAGATGCGATGGCTGAACGTGTAGACTGTATGCTTCCTTCTCTATCTCGACTGTGTTGTTGCGAGTTCGAGATACAGAGATATTCCGATCGCAAGCCCGCCAACTTTACGCACTTCTTGCGCGGCTCGTGCCGCGCGCGCGAGTTTTGAGTTTGGCTTATCTTTTCTCATTCTGCAACAACGTTTCTTTCCAACTAATTTGAGAAATTGGGATTTCTTGGTTTAATTTGCGGCAGATTAGCGTAAACATATAGGAACAAATTGTGAGTTTATATATGCATGAAAAAGGAGGCGGTTTTATTAGGTTATAATGGCTCTGCATGTTTTTTGCCTGCACTTGCACCTTTCTATTTGCAGACGAGTGCTAAATAACCAGTAGATAATATGCTTACTTCATTTTAAATGCAGAAGACGCACAACAAATGTAAAGTGTTATTTCTTTTATAGACATAAAATTGGTGAAATCAAGTTCTTTAGAGGAAGCGGAATACATTCGATAAGAAGATGCATCAAGTTTCATGAAATTAAAGGTAGCGAGCTAGGTGAGTTTTTTTCATTTTTTGAACCAATGTGCGTGCGGAAATGCAATGATTCTGCAATAAATTTTACATCTTGATAATTACTTCTTCATAATTTCAATTGATTGTTCTTACTTGAAATCAAATCGCAGATTGAATTCTTCAATTCTGAAATTCTGAAATTAGGAATCTCAGAATCTAAAAGTTATTTCAGTCCCATATCACATTTTTTATAATCTACTATGATGCAGATTTTTTATTGCAAAAAAACTTAGCCGGTTTAACTGGAAAGTTTTTATGCTGGGAAGGTAATAAATACATTTTTCGTATTCTTTACCTATTCAAAACTATCAATATCACGAAAAAAGCTAAAAATTACATTAATTTGTGCATATAAAATTCTTAAGATTTTTGAGGTTAAGATTAAGGAAGTGTAGTTCTATTTCACACATAAATATTTTTATACGTAAACATTTAAGGTTTATTCCTTAATAATAAACAAATTTTATTTAATATTGTCTTAAAAATAAAAAAATTGATATGTTAACTAAAAATAAGAGTATAATAATAATCGATATATATATATATATATTGATAAAAATGATTAAAAAATTTTAAAAACTAATTTTCTTAAATTTTTTTCTTAAATAGCAGCAAACAGTTTTTAATATAAATCTAAATATACATAACATATTTGTATGATCAAAGGTTTAAAGTTTGCGCTCAATAGCGTGAAATCGCGTGGATGTTTTTCATCACGCCATAGTTGGTCAGCCTGTGTCGCCGGGAGCGACCGGAGCAGACCGGAGCGGTGCAATATCGCTAATCGCCGCGGCGCGTCGCAGGCGTCGCGTTTTCAGCGTATACGTCGTCGTCGTTCTCGACGGCGCCGTTCAATTTTTCTCGGCGCGCGTTCCGTTTTCCGGTCGCAGGGCCGTTTTACGTACCGCGACACCAACGTCGATATTTTTATCATCGGCGGCGTGATTTGTCATCGTCTCACGACTTTTTTTACGGCGCGCTTAGTCTGACAGCAGAAATACTCGATCCGTTGTCACGTCAGCTCCGACGTGCGTTTCGTTCACTGTCAGACAGAAAAATGGCGACCGCCGTGCCATCACGATTCGCCGTCCTCAGCATCGAGGACGACGATTACAAGCCGAAGAAGACACAGAAAAGTGCGACAACGAGCAAGACTAACGTAAAGAACAAAGGTGATAAGCCGAAGCAGCAACAGCAACAGCAGCAAGCGAACAAGAAAAAGCAGAACAAGGTAAGAATGTCTATTATTGCGTTTTTGTTTTTGATTAGCCGGCGAAACGTCAGCCGGATACAACGTTACGGCGGGAAATCTATGTATTTTAAATCTTTGTTTATTATCTGGAAAGGTTATAAGTTTTTTTTGGTTTTAGGGAAAGAAGAAGAAAACAAATAGTGATGATCAACAATGGGAACAGTGGAAGCAAAAGGATACAATGGTAAATATGAATTATTAAAGATATTATGTAAGATTTATTTTTTACATATCGTTTTTTTTAATCCTGTGGCAAAAATTTGCATACTTAATAAATGTTTCATAAGTCTTTTAAAATACTTTTTTTTATTTAATGAATTTTTTTGAAGCATTTTTTATTTAATGAATTAATCATGAGATGTGTGATAAAAAATGTGCATAAGTTATTAATCTGGAAGATTTTGTCAATAGTTCAATATTTATAATTATTTATTTTCCATTTCTTATATTTTCCAACCTTATGAATTTCTTAAGGCTGTGGAGGAAACATTTGAGCAGGAATTACATCAAGCCATCTTGCTGTCCAAACTGGCGTATGAAGAACAATTAGTCTCAACGAAGATCTTCACAGCTAAGACAGAAAAAGAACAAGAACAAAGTAAGAAATCAGGTAAAAAATCGAAGAAAGCAACAATGTCTTTGGAAGAGTTTAATAGCATGGGGACAAATGTGGCATCTACAATTACATTAACAAATGAATCTGCAGACAATAAATCTAAAGGTATAATTATGTAGTTAAATAACTTAAGAATAAATAGCAAAATTATAATTGTTAAACAAGTTTTTTTGATTCATAAATTTTTCGATTTTAGAATTAGATGCAGAATTCTTCGAGAGAGTGGAGAAGGAAACGAAAGAAGAGATCACAAAGGGAAAAGAAAAAGATATGCTGAAAGCCAGATTTAATAAAATCGACGACGATATAACATCTGCGCAATTAAGAGTGGAAATTGAGAAACGCGACGAAATAATCGACCAGTTAAGAACGGAAGTGCATAGGTTGAAAGAAGAGTTAACACAGGTTAAAGAAAGAAATAAAAAACTTTATCAAATATTATCACATGGCGAGAGTAAGTATTTTTTAAGATACATCAAACAGTATATATTTTAAATACGCGAAACATATATAAGCTTGTTATTTGCCGTTACTTTTAGTGAAGGATAAAGCATCTGTATTAGCTGAAGTAGCAAAGTTACAAGAAATACGAGATGAACTGACGTCCGAAGTGACTTCTTTGCATGCCCAATTGGAGCAAGAAAGATCTAAAACACGTACATCCAGTACGGATGTAAAAACATCCAAACAAACTGTAAGATTGATATAAACAGTAGTATTGATGAGTAGTTTTGATTATTCTTTAAATCTCTTAGACAATTATATACTTACTGTATTTTGCGTATTTCAGAACAAGAAAAGGCCGGCCAGTGAAAATGCCTAATTCGCTTTTTGCGAAAAATTATACTATTGTGATTTATTAATTTTAATTGATGATACATACCGATTAAGAAAGAATATTATGTTTGCAGAAAGAAATTTTGATCTCTTGTAATATATTTTTTACTTGCTTGTTAAATATAGATGTTTAAGGTACACTACATGACAGGTTTTGTTAGAACTTGATCATAAGCATATTTTAAAGTTACGATTGCAGCCTACGCTTGTAGCAACTTCCATTTCTATTTTTTGTTCTTCTTCAAAAGACTGTAACATGTATTTTCTTACTTTTAATTCTTTTTTACTAAGTTACATATTGTTAAAAGTTCTTCCAAAACGAGCATTTCATGTATCATCTTCCGAACTGCGTACCAACATCCGTGTGAATATAAATATATTATTATATATATATATATATATATATATATATATATATATATGTGTATATATATATATATATATATATATATATATATACATATATCACTTAAAATATTTTGTAATAAACATATTCTACACACTACTGCAGAAGTTATTGATCACCTTTATATATTCTCTCTATATTTTTATATAATCATCAATATACATTTTATATAGACAAATTCATTTCTCAACACAATTTAACAAGTATAAATTGAAACTCTACCCTTTTAACAATTTTTACTGCTATATCTCATTGTTATCTATTATATTGTACGAATAATTGTATAATGATTGTGTGTATTCTATATATAGAAAATAATAATTGTGTGTTATAATATTTTTCTAATTTTCTAATTCGTTTGACATCACATATTTTTAGGATATTGCAAAAATATGTTCTGCGCTGTGCGTAAACTTAAATTTATGGAACGTCGTAATACGCGAATAAAAAAGTTTTTTCTCGTAAAAAGTGTATGACGTGGAAATGCGATCTTTATTAACGAATGTAATATGATTCGGAGCTAATACCGTGATTTCCAAATTCGGACGACTCTGTTTTCGCTGTGCGATCGTCATCATCTCTACAATTTCCAGTCTTTTCAACCATTCCAGTGAGCGCTACGTCCATTCGCACGATACTAAGCTTCATCCGGATTATACGTGCGGTTGCGCATTTTTATGGAAATTTTTTTGTTCATTTTTTCTGCCTCGAGTTATTCCGCGTAAATTTTTTTTCAGCCTCGCTCCCGGCGACTTCAACATGCAGTTCGATACGTTACACCTCACGTTCCGATTCTTTCTTTTCTTTTTGTCTTTTTTTGTACGGCTTTGCTCCATCCGTTCACCAGTACGCGTAAAAAAAAAAAAAAAAGGATTTTGCCTATTCGCGTTAGCTTTAAATATAAATTATATGTCTCGTACAAAAATAAAAGCGGATTGTCTTATTTCGAAATGAATGATAGAAATTATATAGTTATATATACGTGTGTGAAATTGAGAGAATGATAATGACACTTAAACATTAAACATTAATTAAACATTTAATTCGGACTTTACTTTTAATATAACAAGCGTACGTCGATCTTTGACGCCGAGTTTTGCAATTTCATTGAAGAAGCGCGATCGTCGCTTAATAGGTCAGTCGCGGAAATCGCAACAATTATGTCGAAGAGACGGCAATTATTGCGACGGTTTAATTTCGGAGACTGATGCGTTGCAGCGACCCGGGCGGACGCGTACTTATCTTCTGACTGACAATGAGATCTTGACCAATAAAAGGAGCATTAGCGCTAAGTGGACGCCTCGCCTACTCGGTCATAGTCCTGTTTGCTACGCAAGAGCAGAGGGTGGAAAGTGCAAGGGGCGCGTTTAGCGATAGATATAACTGTCACCCAATTTACGATAGTTTCCGGTATATCGAACTCCTAAGAAACGCATTAGAGATAAACACGATGGCTCGAACATCGCACACTTTTCACAAATGTGTTCTGTATCTTTTACAATTAATTTAAAGTTTATTCTTCGCGATTAAGCGCTGATTAGACTAAAAAGACTCTCTAATCTGGGATCATATTCTATAAGATCTAAAATTAATTCGACGATTCTCTTCATCGCACAGTAATTAATTGCCGAAGTGCAATTTTCCGCGATTGCGCTTCTACTTTTGTGAAAAGTTGTTCTTTGTGATAAAACGCGACTTTCTCCAATCCATCGCTGCGCAAGGAGAAAGATGAGTGTAGGAAGGGTAGGAAGAAAGGGTGAGAGAGAGAGATAGATAAAAGTGACGGGAGGGGGGGGGGAGGAGAGGACGTCGAAAGGGAACACGGTAGATTGAGGGTTTTAGGACGCGCGGCGGTACAGGGGGTGACAGTGGGGATTCATTATCTGACAGTCTATTGTCATTCCTGCGGGCTGAGATTTTGCTCGGGCCAAGAGTACCGTGGCATCACTACGCGCGCTATATGCACGTATATATGTGTGGTGAAATGCGATATCCTCTCTTGAAAAACACGTTTGTTGAAAAGTCGGGGATTTCAGTTGGCTGCATTTCCTTTTACGCACGTTACGTCGCGATGCGACGATGCACATTGCTTTCCCCGCCTTTATATTTATCCGAATGACACACCGAATTCGTATATTTTTCTGCTATCAATGATTTATCGCGTTAAGCTTTCTGAACGCCTCTTCACCACACATTTTCCATTCCTTCCACTTTTACACGCAACATACTAATTCCTACCTCAAACTTCTAAAGGCAGTAATTATTCAACAATTATTTAGCCATTTATTTTCTTCATATGTATGTGTGTGCGTGTGTGTGTTTATTCAGTTTCTCGTATGATTATTTTATTGAGTATTCCAATGAATTATGTTTGAACAGACATTAAGTCGCTATTAATAGCGAACAAAACGACTGTAAGGAATTAAGAATGCAAAATTACATATGTTTCCCTCCGTTTATTCGAAAACTCAATATTTCCACTTCTCTCCCTTGAACGGGGGAGCCATGCTGTGTATAATAAATTAACGTAAAACGAAGACAGTCTCAAAGAGACGACTTACTTGTCGGTATCACCATTATGACGTTATTTATCGAATATGCGTTATAGGGAAGGAAGAAAGGACGAACGGAAAATTAATTCGAACATTAGGCAGGAAAATTAAGGAGCTGCGCGGCGACGACAACGGCCGGGGGGGCTCTCGTTGTCACGACGTTATACGGCCCCATGTACATCCGCGGTGTCATTAACGCTCTCCCGCGCTAGATATAGCGCAAAGTGTGTCGTATATATAAATGTATATATTGCCGGGCGGCGAAATTAAGAATAACGAGAAAAGTATTTTCCCGTCGCGACGGGGGACCCTCGACGGAAAGGACGAGTTTTCCGCATAATGATAATGAGATCGCGCGATCGATCCTCGCGTCTCGTCCGATCGAAAACGATGTCCCCGGGAAGGGTAAATTGTCGAACGGCGACCTGGCTTCGCATAATTCGATACAATCGGAGCGAAGATCCTCGGGATCTTGATTTGCGGCCTGATTTCGCATCTGTTTTGCAAAAGCGGTTCAATTTAAAGGGACGCGGTTCGAGTGACGCGGATCCACGTCGTTAACTCAAGATGATAGTATATTAATTGAAGAGATTTTCATTACAAGGCTACGGAAAGCTCGTAATAAGCTCACAAGACCACATAATTTCGCTCACATTTTGTATGTACATCCCACATTTTATATGTACAATATTAATTGAAATGTGCTCTTCAACTGCACGAATTTGAATTCATTGTTTATTAATATACTTCTTTAAATCGCGATATATAACTTTGTCACCCGAGTCACTCCGTATTGTCGTGCACATAGTGCACGAAGGCGGTGTGATTTAGGTCATTGAGCGATTATGATCCATATCGTCGCAGCCAGTAGACCTTTGAATGCCTAATATGTCACGAGTCAGATTACATCGCTAAGATCAAGTAGATCCCGCACAATGTATCAAGCGATCAAACGCACATGCATATTCAGCGCGCTGTTCGGCAAATTGTCGCTTAAGACGAGATACATCCCGCGAGATACGCGCCGCTCGGGGTCCACCGGCGGAGCCTTATTATCATAAGCTTCGACCTTCCACGTCGACGGAAAATTTAATCACGTATCGCGCGTTGATTGTCCCACAAGAAAAAGAGTGCTCAAACGTTTTTCCTCCCCGAATATCGCTGTCGCTTTTATTCGATGACGACGCGACGTGTGTTATGCAAAGTAACGCGGCGAAACCCTAGTTCCGCATATGAAATTCACGCCTCGTTATAACGAAAAAGATCGAAGAACAAAGATGCAAAGGGACGTAAGAGCGTCGCGTGGGAAGTGTCGTCCCACAGTGTGGAAATCACGGTCGCGATTTTGATTGTCACGCGAATTCGGAGGGGGGATATCTCTCCAACGCATCGTCACGCACTCCGTTTGTCCGTTTGCCGATGTACGCGCACGCGAAACGATTAAAGTTTTAGAAGTATCGATTCTACCGCAACGGCGTGCGGCGTTAACGTTGACAGGCAGAGAGGGATCGTCAAAGAGCATAATAATTACTGCGGGCTCGCAGAGAAGAGGCTCAACCCTTTGTTCTGTAGTCATTTTACGAAAAGGGAGCGCGCGCAGGGGGTGGCGATGGGGCGGAGAGGACGGGGGAGAGGGGGGGGGGGAACGCCCGCCTCGCCGCGAAGGGGTTGTTCGCGGTTGGAGAGAGCATCCGTTTCGACCGCACCATTATGTAATTGATCCGAGCCTTTCGTACGGACGCGATCGCACACGCCGAACGGATCTTTCTTTTCGGAAAGAGAGGTGCAGGCGTGATTTCCGACACCTCGGGATCATCCGTTGAACAGGAGGGTCCCGCGCTGAATGAATGAACGGCGGAAAGAGGCAGGAGACAATTTTGCAAGTTTTATTTAAAGACGATCGAAATGCGCGGAGAAACGCCCTCGGCGCATTTTACGTTAATTTCCGACCGAGCAACGTACGAAGAATTTAATTTTTAGCATATTTTCTTCGCTATGCGGTAATTTTATGTACATCATTTAGAAAGCCGACTGGAATGCGCGCGGAGAGACATCCGCAATACATTTATGTCAGTTTTGCCAAGTGCCACGCGAGGAATTTAATTTTCGAGCGCAGCTCGATGCGGCGCGATTTTTCTTTTTTT